ATAAACTTTTTCTAGGTTAAAACACATTTGTAAATTAAAAATAAATAAACAAATAACTAATAATAATCAATAAAATTTATATTTTTTAAAAGTTAACTTTACTTTTTGCATTAAACTAATTAATAAAACAATTATAATTAAAATTATATTAAAATATATTATTAACCTTTATTAATCTATTTAGATTATTAAATTATTTGCATATGTTTGTAATTGTTGAAATAAAATTATTTAAATTAGTTATATTAGTACTTAAAATATTATATTAATTTATCTAATAATTTCTATTATTAGCAATACGTTAAACATTTATTGATTGTATAATGTTATATATGCTAATCAATAAAAATATATTAAGTACTTAAATAATTATTTTATTATAAATTATATATTTTATATATTTTAATTGATAATTATGTTATTGTATTAAAAATTAGAACATTTTATAAGTATAATAAATAACAAATAACTAATTATTAAAATATCTATTATTAAAATTATATATATATACAGTATATGCAATTTTATAAAAAATATATATATAATACAGTAGCAGCTATTATTAAATTAACTTAATTATCAAATATATGTTTTTTTGATAATAAATTACTGAAACTAAATATTTTATACTAAATAAATAATTAAGAGTATTGTCTGATTTAATAATATTAATAATAATAATGAATACTATTTCAAAAACTAGATTCAATTGGATTGTTTCATTAACAATTGATTCAACTTATCAATTGACAATATCATACAATTATTAATACAATTGATAATATTTACTGTTTTTATGTTATTTACAGTATATATATATGTCTTTAATATCATATCATAATTCTTTAATTAAAACATATTATAAGTAAAATATAATATTAATAATAATCAATAGTTGGATAATTATTAAAAATTATACATTAATAATTTTAATTATATTTTTTATAATAATTTTTTATTATATAAAATATTGGAAAAATTCAATAATAATAATATTATTCTATAAATTATTAAAATATTATATTAAAACTATATTAAAAGTAAAATTAATTATAAATAAAAAAGTTATTATTAAAATTAATGCATTATTTAAACATTAATGTGTTTATTAATTATATATAATATATTATATATTATTCCTTATCTTTACTAATGTTTACTAAAAACTATATTTTATTACAATTATATTTTACAAAATAGAAAAATAATTACTAACTTATACTATATATTTGTGACATTTTAGTTATTTTTTTGTATTAAAAACTAAATAAAACTAAAGTTATTATAATATTATAAATATTTTACAATAATATGTTTTGTATTTATATTATAGCTGCTTAAAATTATTTATTACGTTATATTTATATTTATAATGTATTATAATTTATAAATTATTATTATTAATATAATTTATATCGATTAAAAGTAATGTATATAAAATTTTTATTTGACAAATTTATAACTTTTACATATAAAAATACATTTACTTAAACAAAAAAAGTAACATTATCAATTTATCTTAACCAGTAATATATATTATGATATCGTAAATAAACATCAATTTTAATATTAAAAAATAATCTCTAAATATTGTAAAATAAATCAAATAAATGTTAAAAACATTATAAAAAGACAAAATTACATATAAAATACTGACAATTAATATATATTATTGAAATAGTGTACATTTATTTTTCATTAATATCAGTCATACAGTCAACTAAATTTAACTTTAAATAAAATGTAAGCTTAATGATACAAATTGTTAAATGTTAATTATCTAAATGTACCATGTATCTTCATGTATATATAATGGTTTTAATTAATTTGATAAACATGTTAATTAATAATTTATATACTCTATAACTTATAAATTACGTTAGGATTAATAAGTTAGAAAATGTTAATTAAAAAGAAATATTTTGTTATTACATTTATATTAACTATCATATCATTTATATTAATAATACACAGTATTAGAAAAACACTAAATTACTAAACAAAACGTTTGACAAACAATAAGTAAATAACTTTATATAAAATTTGATTGCCTCATAATTAACAGCCAATGCTTTAATTAAAATTGTCATAAATATTATACCAAACACTAGATTATAATACATACACAAATTAAATACAGTATTAATTTTTATTCACAATTAATGTTTAAATAATTAAATAATTATTGAAAAATTCAAAAACTAACCAAATATTTACATCAATTTAGATAGTGTTATACTATTAGATTTAATTGGATAAGATTGTTTAAATATTTAGTATACCTTAACCCAAATGTACTTTTATTAATTAAAAATATAATTATAATAACACTAAAAATAAAAAATAAATTGATTATAATATTATATCAAACAAATCGTCTGACAAACAATGAATTCATTAGTTTGTATGACATGTTTGCCTCATAAGTAACAGCCGATGCTTTAAATATAATTGTCATAAATATTGAACCAAATACTAGATTGCCGTAAATACACATTAATTTTAATATTAAAAAATTGTCTGTAAAATATGTAAAATAAATCAAATAAATGTTAAAAACTCCAAACACTGCCCAATAATTAGCCAAATATTGACACCAATAGGTAGTATTATATTCATTAATCTCATTGCAAATATTGTTAAAATTGTTAAAATATTTATAAATATTTTTATTTACAATTATTATTGGTTTTTTATGAATAAATTCAACAACAATTTTATTCATGGACTTAATCTTAATTACTAAATAATAGGTTAGAAAATAAAAATAATAAATCAAATAAAACATTAAACCGGATGATTCATATAATGCTATTGAAAATAATATTGAATTATATATGCCATAAATGATTGCTTCATATAGTGATAGATAAACTATAAAAGTTAGAAAACATATACAACCAAAACAACCATAAAAATAATGAAGTATTTTAATTATAACCAATGTTAATTTAGCTTGCTTAAATAGTTTACATAACTCTGGATCAGTATCATAAAGTCCCAGACAACTGGGTGGCATCAAACCGGCCAACATGTAGAACACACGCATAAATGTAGGTTCAATGTGATTATAGTAATTGTAATAATAGGTTAGTTGTGGCAAATTAAAGCCCAATAGTAATAATAGTAACAATATTTTGTATTCAGTGCCAAAACCAATGATTTGTGAGAAATCGCCAAAAAGTAATACCAATAACTGATTGCAACCGTTGTTTACCAATAATATTACTGTCAATACAATGTACGACCAAATGATTACCGATTTGATCACTGGTCGCGATGTTATGAACCGACGTTTACAGTTAACAGGAGGTCGTGTCAAACACAGACCAATACTATAGAGTAAAGTTGCCGCAGATTTTACATATAAATCATTTGATAATTTTGTATTTTTCATTTTGTTGTTATTGTACTCAATCGGCAATATTTTATTCATGATTTAATAATTACTTTTTAAAAAAAACAAAACAAAATTTATTGCAATTAAAAAATATATACTAATACAGTATATTCATCAGTCACTTACTAGTTTTAGTAATTTAATTGTATATATTTTTTCTTATATTTTTAACATTTAGTTTAAGTTTGAATTAACAATTAAGACATTAATTAGTAAATATTAATGATAGAAAATTTTTAATATTTGAGTAACATAACAATTAATAAGCTATTTAAGAAAAATATACATAATTAGCAAATATTCATTATATAAATAAATAAAATATTAAAAAAATATTGTTAATAATAATAATAATAATTTTATTAATTTGTTAAACGTTTTGTAAAATAATTTTATTGGTGTATTATTATTTAAATAATTTATATATAATTGTTTATTAAAACTTTATAAAAGTTATATATTGTATATAAAAAATAGTTAATTGCAACTTATTAAATATGTACTTTAATTAACACTTTGTAATTATAAGCAAATAAATTATTACATAATTAATGTTAAGAAAGTTGTTTTTATATTTCTAACTTTTACTAAACATTAATTTAGTTCACATTGAAAAATATTATCGAAAAATTAAAGTTAATGAAAATTGGTAATTTAGATGTATGTCATTATTATATAATAATTTAAATTTATCAATTATTTTTGTTAGATTTTTAAATTATCAATTTATTATTTTTCTTATAATATAAAAGTTTAAATAAAAATAGATAAATAGACATTTAAACGAAAGTAAACGTTTTAATTAATTATTAGTTATTGTATTATATTAAATTACAAAAAATTAAAATAGTTTTTTATAATGATATTTTCAAATTTAATGAATACAGTTACAGAATAACTGTTTTGAATTATTTAATTTATTATAAATATAAATAAAATATTACTCTAAGCAAATAAATAGAAAATTATTTAACTAATTTATAAAACACTATAAATTATGAAAGTAATATTTATTTTGTTGTATTAGATATTATTAATAATTAAAATGTATTTGTAAAAAATATTAAGTAATAGAAAATAATTTATCTATTTAAATTTGCTAGTATTTTAATTTTTAACAATTACGATTATTGCTTATAAATGTTTATCTAAAAAAAGTTTCCAGTTATTTGTTGAACATTTTAAGTTTTAATTATTTTTCAATAAATAATTTTTAATTATAATTAAAAAAACATATTAAATATTTTTATCTAAAGCTCTAATAAAATACTAATCGATTTTTATTATATTTTATATTAAGGTTAGTTAAATTTAATTTAAAATACACAATTTATTAATTAATATTTTATGAATATTATAATTACATATATTAATATAGAAAATTATTTAATTATTACAACTAAATATTGTTAATATTATTAATTATTATTTGCTGTTAATATTATTATTAACCTACCAGAGTTGGGTAGAAAGTATTTTTTAAATAATTTCTAGAAAGTTTTGATAATAGTTTTCATATTAAATAACTTATATTTAAAATTTATACAAATAATAGTTTAATATATATATATAATTTATATATGTTTATAATTAATTAATTTTAGCTAGCACATTTGAGTATCTGATCCCTGTGCTCGTCCAGTTCAATACTGCACGTATCGTTACGTTTGTAATCATCAGGTTTGGCATTTTTGCGAAACTCTTTCATCAGCTCATGTAGTCTAAGAAGACAGTCATCGAGATTTGACTTATATTTATTGGACATTTCAGTCATCTTTATTGCTTGTGGACAGTCACGGGTGCAGTTCATAAAGTTTACAATATATTTACGACTTTCCTTATCAGTACAGTCACCTATAATTATTTTTTTTAATTTAAAAATGTAACAAATAATTATTGATTTTATTTATATAATATTAGTTACAACAATTTGTTACCGCAATATAACATAGCAATGCCGTCGCCGTTATTGATATCCCATGTTTTGGCCACTTGTTTGTTGTCACAGTTGTTTCCATAAATTATTATTGCAATTGTTATAATCACTATCAGTATTGGTGACGACAATTGATTAGATAGTTTTGACATTTTTGACCAAAATAAATAAATAAATAATTTATAATAAAAATAAATATTTAACTACAGTTGTGAACAAACTATTTTAAATTAATATTATTTTAATTTTTATAAGAATTTTTTTGAAATACAGTTTTGAGGAAAAATAGGAAACTTTTTTTATTACATTAATATTACATTATATTTTTTCAATTAGGTTTTATTATTGTATCTTATGTTTGCATATTTAATAGAAACAAATAAATGTACTAGTATAAATTATATTATATAAATATATATATGTTTATTTTAATAACAAATGGTATTATACTAATTGATATCTTTTTGTGGTAATATTGTGTTTTTAATTTATTTTTTTATTATGAAATGTTTGTCATGTACAGGTATAATATATACAGGTAGTATATTGTATATTATGTTTTATAATTATCATTATATTATTTTTTATCATGCAAACACTATGCAAATGTAAACATAATAAACTTGCAATAAATAAATAATATTGTTTTTTCAAAATAACAAATATTATAAAATATAATAAGTACAATTAGGTTCAAATAGTTTAGCACATAATTTAGAAATTTAACTGGGTATATTGATTTAATTAATTAAAATAAAGTAATACAACTATTTATAGTTATTTTTTCTAAATTTATAATTATTTATTTTTAAAATTAGAAAAAATTAATAAATTTATTTATTGTAATTAAATTATTATATAATTATGAAAACATATTATTAAAAACATATGTTTTAAAAAATTATTAATACTAATTATATGTTATATTATTAATAATTTTAAATTGCATTACATATTTTATAATAATTTTATATTACAATTTAGCAGTTTTATTAATCATGAATAGTCAACAAAAAATAGTATTAATTTATTAGTTTATATTTGTGTAAATTATTTTAACTAAATTACTTAAAACTTGTTAGTATTAGTATAATTATAATTTATAAACAAATGCAAAATATATTTACATAATATAGTTTTTATAAGTAAATTTTTTAGATAATTAATTGTAATAAAATATTTTTTTAAAATATTTAAAAATATGTACAATTTATTGTTTAAAAAATTAACAACATGGTTATTATCAATTATGATGCTTATCATCATCATTATCATCAGTACAGTTAATATAACTAAATGTTTACACTATAAAGATTATTATGCTAATGATAATGATTACTATTATAACAATAATAATAATTATAAACCTAATCATAAATATGGTCGACCTAAACAACATTACTTGAAATTATATAACGGTGCTCATAATCATCATAATTTAGAGACAACAACACCAATAACATTAATAAAAAATACAGGAGATAGTAGTGATATGATTGCCAAAATTGTTGGACCTGTTAACTATGGGGCACATATAGGTAATCATCGACAACGACACCGTAGTGCCAGTAGTAGTAATAGTAAACTATGGATGACTAGCCTGAATGGCAATGATAAAGCAGTTGATCCCGGATTTCAAGTAATACATCAGGACATCAATCGTCATGGTTTTGGTCGACGACCCGATGATGTTCATCGATGGCCAGGTGTTAGCAAACTTGGCCGAAGTATTGGCGGCGGCGACGATGATAGTTGTGATGATCTAAACCCGGATCTGTTAAAATCTGATCAAAATATTATATAAATTTTATTTATTTTTTAAATATATAATATATATATTTAAAATAACTAATTTTTGTTTTAGTAGTTATAATATTTATGTGCAGATAATAAAAATTATTTTATTTAAATAAAAATTTTTATTTATTTATATATTACTTCATTTATTCATAGACAGTACAGTAAACTAAATAAACTAAATTTATATTATAAATTACATTACAGTAAATGCAAAAAAAAAATATCACAAAAAAAACTTTATAAAAACTAATGAAACTAATTAGCAAAAATTAAGTTAAAAATGTTTGATTCAAATATTACTAAAAAAGTATTATATAAAATAATATGAATTTGTAATATTTTAAATTTTGAAAAAACAAAAATTGTTTTTATAAATTATGTTAATTTCTAAAATCTTTTACATTTATAATACAAGATTAAATGCATTCGTAAATATGCTTTCTATGATAATATAAATAAAAATCAAGATTATATTAAATAAATTATTTTATATATTTTAAAATAAAATTTAAGTTAATATAAATAATATATCCAATAAACTTAAATATTATACATAAAACACCTGTTTAAATTCATAATATATATAATATATATACTGTGTACATTTTTACTTTATAATGATAAATTGCAAATAAAACTTTAAATATTTATAATACATGTATATGTATTTACTAAATATTACATATACAATCTATCATTGTATTATCATGTTTACACAAATGCATATAAGCGCGCACACACACACACACACACACACACACACACACACACACACACACACACACACACACACACACACACACACACACATACACACACACACATACACACACATACACACACACACACACACACACACATACACACACATACACACACATACACACACATACACACACATACACACACACACAATAAGCTAAAATTAAAATGCAATGTAACGGTTGATTTCATTATATTATTGATAGATAAATGTGTTATCAAACTCACTAAAACTACAGATACAGTAACATTTAAAAGACAAATAGTATAATAAATATATTTTAAAAATAATATTAGTATATTTTCTAACTGTCCAAATAAATATAAAATAAATAATAATATAATTTTAATAATTGTAATATTATTTTATTTAAAATTTTGTCCATCATATAAACGAATAATAACTTTTTTATAAAATAGAAATTTTTAAAAAAAATTTTAGTTTTAATCCCAAATTAATATTCCCCCCGAAAAATATGGGCAATTGTTTTGGTCGGAAATGCTGTTCGGTTACAGTGATTGGTCCGTCGGGATCGGGTAAAACATCGCTCGTTCAACGTTTACAGAGTGTAGGCACCGATTACCGATCACTACCTCCTGTTCCTACTATTGGATTCAATATTGAATCAATTGAATTGAAACGATACATAATAACTGTATGGGACTACGGCGGTGGGTATATGTATAAAATGAGATCAATATGGGACGAACATTTTGTCAATATCCGAGCACTGGTACTAGTGGTGGACAGTAGTGATGGAGCACTGGCACGGATAGCCCAGGCCAGACAAATGCTATGGGATGTACTGGATAATATAACAACAATTAATAATTATAATACAAATACCAGGGTTATTAAAGTGCTTGTAGTGGCCAACAAATGTGATTTGAATCGTTGTTTAACCATGGCACAATTGTACAATGAATTGGCTATTGATGATTTATTAGCTAAACGTGTAATTCAATTGAAATTTGTTCAAGCTAGTGTAGTAAATGATCATGGTTTAAATGATATTTTACAATGGCTAAAAAAGTTAGTTTAAGTGATTAGTTTTTTTTTTGGTGAAAATTATTGTTTATTTCTAAAATAGTATAATACTAAATATGTAATTTTTTAAAATTATTTTTTAAAAATCTAATCTAATTACAAATTTTGTATAAATAATTTATTTAATAAATTTAATTATAATATTTACTATAATAATAGAAACTAGTTATATTTTTAAAATTGCCCCCATTTATCTATCATAATTATTTTTTAATAAACATTGTAAATACATCAATATAACGTAATTCATGAAAATTAACTTATAGTACTTTATAATATTTATATAAACAATGGAAATTTAATACAAATGGACATGTTATAAAAAGTACCAAAATTATTTACTACAAAACTAGAAAACTGTATATAAATTGTTAATACATTTTTATAATACATTTTCCATTACTTGTATTGAAATTTAATGAAACAAACATTATTTAAGTCATAATAATAACTTGTTTTTCAATAAAATATGATTACATATGTTATTTGAAATATTTATTTTTATTATTTTTGAAAACTGTCAAAAAATATTGTTTATATTATTTAGTCATTTATATAGAAAATAAATTTTATAATTTTCTAAAGTATTAATAATAGTTTTACTATAGTGTGTTAAACTACAGTTAAAATTGTAATTAAATTAATTTTTTTATAATAATAGTTTAAATCACCGAAAATATTCACGAACTAAATCCCGATTTTTTTAAAATAAATAAACTAAATGTCCGATAATTATGACAGTAATACTGGTGGTCAAAGTGAATCGGGCGACGGAGTAGAAGGAGGAGAACCGGTAGTTTCAGGATCGCCACTATCAGCAGCAGCTCCCGGTGCTGTCGACAACAATAATGATGATCTGCTTAGCAAATTGCAGGCCGAGGCCCGACAATTGGCTGAATTGGCCGTCAATTTTGACGCCAACAACGATTTGGAAGCAGCTGTCTATTATTATCGGGTAATTATAATTATGATATATTTTATTAAAATGATAGTACAATAAGATATATATATTTTTTTGGTGATAGGAAACGGCAGATGTACTGAAAAAATGCTTACATTTGATGACAACAACAACTACGGTATCGCCGGCCGATATGGACGCCAAACGCGGACAATATCTGACCCGAGCTCAGACACTAATGGATCGGATTTATAGTAAAAAAAATTTTTTATATATATAAAACTATTGTTAATTAACGGGTTTATTATTTTAATGGAAAAATAGCTATCGACTCGAAATCGGGATCGGATACCGTAGGCGGCGGCGGCAGTGGCGGGACATTGGCGGCCAGTGAGGAGTCGGCAATGTTGTTAAGGGCTGAGTGTTTGATGCGGGAGGCGCTCGACGAGGACGGGGATCATAATGTCGATGAGGCTATCGAGTTGTACACACAATCTATTGAACTGTGTATACAAGCTGTAAGTTTTAAAAAAATATTATTTAAACCATACAAATGATAATATTTAGAAATAATTGTTTATAAAAAACTGATTAATATTTTATTTCTATACATTACTTAATAATTTTAAAAATACAGTTTATTTTTTACATTGAAAACACATATATTTTTTATACAATACTATACTATTGTATTAACTTAAATTAGTTAACTATAAAAAAGTACAATTATTTTATTATAGCTCTTTAAAAAAAATTATTTATAAAACTAGAGTTAACAAACAAAAATTATTTATACAAATTATTAATGAGTAAAATGTACCTTGATGAAATAAGTTGGAAAAATTCTAGATTATCATGATAATTTATTGAAATTTTCACAAAGTTACACCGATATAAACTGTAACGCTAGTACTGGTGCTAGTTTGAGGCATATATATTAAATGGTATTAGTAGCTACTAGTGCCCAGATGAACTCGCGGTGGTCCAGAGTGCAGGCTTCAAACCTGTAGCCGATTAGCGTCGGAGTGGTTCGATTCCACCTTCTGGGCGGCGGTGGGTGTTCTAGAGGGGGTGCACCTCCTATTTGAAGAAAAATTTTTTTAGCTTGCTTATACTGGTTATTTAATAAATATATCATATAAAATTGACACTCAAATAACTGTAACCATAATATGATGGGATAATTAGTAGCAATTAGTAAAATTTAATTCGGGAGGGTGGGCGTGGAGTGTGGGGTAGTTTTAAATAATATATTAAAATTATATTTTATTTTTATTATTATTATTTTTTAATTTAATTCTAATTTTAAATAAATTAGCGTAAATTAAATTATTAAAAATTTTTATTTTAACATATTTTTTCAAATTATATAATTTTATTATAATAAATAAAACATTATATTTAGTATTTAATCTTAACTTTAATTTTATTTTAGAAAAATATCACAAAAGATGAGTCTTTGAAGAAAAAGTTGACGACATTGGCTACCAGTGCTCTGGATAGAGCCGAAGCACTTAAACAACTGAACACAACGACAACATCTACACCGGGAAGTGATATCAGTAAAGGTGTTACCAAACTGAAGCTCAGTCCCAGTAATACCAGTCCCACCACTACTACTCAGTCATCAATAGCTACCACCACATCGTCGTCATCATCGTCACCGACACATCAAAAACATGTTATCAGCGGACAGACTGACTATACACGTGAAGAGATCCAAGTTCTACGCCAGACATCTATAATCAACGGTCGAGAATACGTACCGTTTTTGTCGGTCGACCTGAAAGAGCGCTTCTCCTATCCGATGCCTTATTCAGATAAAGACGGTCTACTGGTGTTGGCACCAAAACAACGTCATTCGTGGCAACGATGGGCCCGTTTGGATGAGCTCAGCCCATCGCCGGCAGTGATCAGCGACCAAATCGACTGTTTTGCTATCAAACAAACTATTGTCAGCGACTGTTCATTTGTGGCCTCACTGGCCGTATCGGCACTCTATGAAAAACGTTTCGCTGGCCGTCGATTGATCACTAATATTGTCTATCCTCAGCGCCGGGACGGTCGACCCGTTTACAATCCGTGCGGCAAATATATGGTTAAGTTTAACATCAATGGTGTGGCCCGTAAAGTATGTATGTCTGTGTGTGTGATCAGTGATTATAACTGTATATAAATTTATTAATTAAATTTTTGTATATATATTTTTTCGCTACTGTACAGGTGCTCATTGATGATCGACTTCCAGTGGACAAGTATGGCCAGTTGCTGTGCTCCTATAGTAGTAATAAACAAGAGTTTTGGGTATCGTTACTGGAAAAGGCATACATGAAAGTAATGGGTGGCTATGACTTTCCCGGCAGTAATTCGGTAAATACTAAAAAAAACAAAAAAAATTAACTTAAATATAACTCAATTGTTTTCTTCATTGATAATACTGTAAATTATATGATATTTAGAACATAGACTTACACGCACTGACCGGTTGGATACCCGAGCGACTGTCCCTATCGGGTTCGGGTCCAGAGTCGGAAAGAGAGAAAACATTCAAAATGCTGTGCGAAAGGCACGCAAAGGGCGATGTATTAATTACAATAGCAACGGGAGAGCTGTCCGATGCCGAGTGCGAGCGAACCGGTTTGGTGGCCACACACGCCTACGCTATGCTCGATATCAGGGCTGTTATGGTATGCGAGAGACAGAGAGAGAGAGAGAGAGAGAGAGAGAGAGGAGTAATAAAATGTTATATTTTTTTGTTTGTTTAAAAAACAGAATAAACGACTGTTCCTATTGAAGAATCCATGGAGTCATCTGAGATGGAAAGGCAATTACTCGGAACGGGATGTCAACAATTGGACCAAACAGTTAAAGGATGCTCTACACTATGATCCGCAAAGTGCCAGAAATTTTGATAACGGTTTGTCAACAAAAAAAAATGAAAATAATTATTAAATCCAACCCACAGATCACTACTAATATTAAAATAATTATCGATAGATTCATTGATATATATTTATTATTTTCATTAATTTACAGTTTTTGTTGTCGTTTTTTACACAAATTTTTTCCTATCCTCTACCTGTAGGTGTATTCTGGATAGACATGGACTCTCTATACCGGTTCTACGATGTGGCCTATTTGAACTGGAATCCAAGTCTATTTAAATATACCTATTGTACACACGAGTATGATATTGTTTTTATTGAATAGATAAAACAAAACAATTAAATCAAATCAGTATAAATTAAAAAAAAAGTATCTAATTATCTGTCTGTCCTTTTTTGTTTCATATCTCATTAGCTCATGGAGTGCAGGTGTCGGTCCTGTTAAAGATATCTACAATATTGGCGATAATCCACAATACAGTCTAACATTGAAAAGCCCGGACAGTACTGTTTGGGTGCTATTAACCCGTCATATAACTGATAAGGTATTGCTGGCATACAATTAGTATTATTATTATTATTTATCTTTTTAAAAATTTTTTTTTGTTAATTACCCTAGAACGATTTTGCCAATAATAAAGAGTATATCGCTTTATTGGTCTATAAAAATACCGGTGAAAAAGTTTATTTACCATGTATGTTAAATATTATTTTTTTTTAAAAAATAACATTTCTTAAACTATAAAATAGTAAATATGATGATCATATTTATGATGATTTCATATAATTATTGAAAAAAATTTATTTTATTTTATGTTCAAAACAGTATTTTTTTATATATAAAAAAATTATTATAAACTAATTTTTGATTACCGGTATTTTTGTTTGAACATCCATATATATATATATATATATATATATATATATATAGTTGATCCGCCCCCACACATTGATGGTGTCCGAATCAATAGTCCGCACTACCTGTGCAAAATCATGCCAACTGGTTCACCAAGTAGTCGCTATACACTAGTTATATCGCAGTATGAAAAATCAGCGACAATACACTATACGATACGTGCCTATTCTACCGGTGCCTTTCAGCTTAAAAAACTGGTCAATCCATACAAATATAAAGAGATTGTTAGTAATAAATTGTTTAATAGTGTAGTTGTTGTCGACAAATTGATATAATGATTATTATTTATTTATTAATTATTATAGGAAAGGAACGGTAAGTGGACGGCCGAGACTGCCGGTGGATGCGCTAACAATAGGGACAGTTATCACAAGAATCCGGTCTATCAGTTGACGATTACCAGTGCTAACGATACAGACAATCAGTTACTAATTGATTTAAAAGGACCAAAGTATTTGACACTTTTATAATCATAATTGATATTATTATTATTTTAAATTATTAATTAATAGTTATTTTTTGAAATAATTATCGTTAAATTTTATGTCCAATAATTATTTGCGTGTTTTACTCAGGGATTACGCCATTGGTATCGATTTGGTGGCCGTCACTGTCCTGAATCCGAGTTCAGTCAACTATTTTCAACGACAATCGTCAGGTGCTTTCAGATCGGGCTTTACAGTACTACAGTTGCGTGCCGTACCCGCCGGTACCTACAATATCATACCGTCCACCTATAAACCCAATCAATTGGGACCGTTTTTCCTGGAAGTACAGTCAACCACACCATTGAAATTGTCTAAATTAAGATAATACTACTGTACTCTCTTATAGTATGTCTTTCTTACAATTAATTAATTAATATATTTTTATATTTATTTTTAAAAAAATATTATTATATATTTTTTAAAATTGACATTTTATGACTAAACTATTAATATATGCTTTTATTTATTCATTTTTTTATAATTATAATTATACATATAACTTATTATGTGATATAAGTAAATTATAGTTCAATGTTTTTTATTTAATTATTAATTTCGAAAATTAACTTAATTAATATATAACTAATTTATTGAAATTTTAGTAATATAACTAATATATTAAAATTTTATTATTATTATTATTACCGGTAACAATTATCGTTAATATTATTATAATATCATAAATCAATCTATTGTTAATTTATCAGTTATGCACTCGAAACTTTTTTTTAAAAAAAGTGTACTTTAAACTTAATTTAATTAAATGAAATTAATATATTTGATATCCTAATTGAAAATAAATAAATTTGTTGTTGTTGTTATAAATGAAACTTTAATTATTGTTGTTAACTATTATATCATATGATTTCATATGTTATTTCATATGTTTTTTTGTTATCAAAACTGTTTAGTAAACAAAATTGAATCACAAGATTTTTTTTTTCTCATGTCATTGATTGCTTAATATAATTTATTATAACAATATATATAGGTATATAATTTAATTTATGACATATTTAGATTATATTAATTATATTAAACATATCTTTGTTGAAAAAATAAGTTACGGTAACAATAAACAGTAACTTTTATAATATTAATATTTTAATTATAATTGTAAATCAAATTTAAGTAAAAACTAGTATTCAAATCACAGTATCATATAAGAGAAATATATTTTTGTCTATTTATTGAAACCGTATTATAACTTATTAGCATAAATTTAATTAAATTTTATATGCAATTAATTTTACAGATAATAATTTTAATAGTATATCTCTCAAGTATTTTAATGTTATGTAAAAAATAATAAAGTCTATGATAATACTAACTAATTTGCAATCATTTTACTAAAAATACTACTAATAATTATAATAAGAGTTATTTTTTGAAACTTATTTACAAGTTTATAATAAAAATTTATTTTTTAAAATCTATTTATAACTACTGTATATATATATAAATAATTTTCAAACACAAAATAATAAACTTGTTTATTCAGTGGAAAATTAAATAAAATTATAATTTTCTCTATTTATAACATAACTAATGTAATTTGCATATTTATAAATTTAATATAAACAACACTATATTTGGCATTGATTATTATTTGTTTGTTTGTTTTTAATTTTAAAAATAACAATTATATTTCATAAATTATATAATTGTTTAATTTGCACATTAAATTACAATAAAAGTATACACATAACTAATTATTGTGTTTTTTTTGCAAATCATAAAATTGCGTAAAAGTGCACTCAATGTATAAATGTGTTGTAACTGTAATGCTGTTGTTGTTAATAACAAACAAATCATTTGATTGAGTCAGTTAATGTAATTAATTAAATTGGCACTGGTAGTTTATTTCAGATCCCTGAGCTATATGGAAAATTTTACATATACTACATTCCTCTCATTATATCAAACATGTGCACTCTCTCCCCCTCTCTGTGTTTAATAACTCTCCCTCTCATTCATTGATAATACTTTAACCTATTATATATATGTACTTAAATAATATATATATATTAAGGTACAGAATATTCTGGAAAATTGTTATTTAAACTTATATATTATCTATTAGTAGTTAATCTATTAGTGTATTAGAAACAACAATAACAAAACTAATTAAAAAAAATTGTATTTTATTTTTTTACATTTAAATTTAAGTCTCCATTTATATAAATAGATTTTTACAACAAAAAACTACATGTTATTAAAATTTAAAAACTAAAAACTAATGAGAAATTAAACACAATTAACCAGAATATTAAATAAGTTTTTAAAATTGTATTATTGGTAGTAATTTTTAAAAAATTAATCCAACATTTAATATCATTTATTTACTTTAATTATGTAATTATATCAATACTACTACCCATGATTGAGTTCAGAGGGGGGTCGACATTAATCATCGACACTACAGATATATAGAGAGAGATACAGTAGTCGTGTGTTTCATATATGAAAAGCAATAATACAAGTGATATGACGTTTATATTGTTTATCACAAAAATATTGAGATAACAGTGCTCTACCAGTATATAGAGTACTGCAGTATATATACTGTGTATATAAGAGCCAACTATTTCTGTATATTTTGTTATATATATACAGTATATATATTGTATATTCATTATCAGCTAAATATATTATAATATTATATTTAACACATTTATTAACTGTGAAAGTTATAACAAATAATATCTACAAAAACAATTAGTAGTTTTTTAGTAGTTATTTCATCAGAAATAATTTTATTTGTAGTTAAAGTTGTATTATTTTACAATAATATTATTATTCTGTAATATTAGTAGTAAACAACATTTACATCTACTGTATCTCTCTCTCTCTCTCTCTCTCTCTCTCACTCACTCTCTCTCTCTCTCTCTCTYTCTCTCTCTTTCCCATAAAAACATACTGTACTTGTATTTAGTATTATTATTAGAGTCGTAGTAGTTATATAGTGATACCTAATACAAGTAATAATTGAAAAACTACCGGTGCTTTTCCACTATATATTGATTGGCTGATTCAAGTATAAATATAATTTGTCATATAATTCACGAGACAACATAATTTTCCGCTAAAAACTTGTATATTTAAATATATATATATAAAGTATATATAAGTTTATTTAAATTTTATTAATATTATAATCATTAGCAAAAATTTGAATTTTTTCAAAAAAAATATTAATAATAAATTGTGTGTTTTATTCAATGAGATGCTAAATGTTAAATGTATTGAATTTAGTTAATTTTCATCTAACAAACAATCACAAAATTATTACTAAATTGTGATTTAATTAATTTGTTATAAAATAGTCTTATTTATATTTATGTGTATTTGTTTAGTATAATTAATAAAAATATTTTTTTTTTAATTGATGTTACGTGATATTTTAGTTTATATTATACTAAATTTAATTATTCAGTGATAAATTGCAAAAAAATAATAATATTAATAATTTAAAAGTGTTTATTAGTTGGTATAAAATATATATACAATACAGTAAATAATATTGTATTTTAATCACAATTATAATTTTTGTTGTGATTTAATAATCAAATTAAAACAATATCTACAAATTTGTGACTATAATAACATTAAAAATATTTAACCATTTAATGTGATTTTATTTTAATTGTTATAATTGATAATAACAATTATTTTTATTTTGTCTCTACATAATCAAGTGAAATATCTTAATTTTATTTATATAATTTTATTTATTTCAATTATCTTATGTAATAAATTATTATTTTATTTAAATACTATAAAAAATTAGTAAAATATTTTTATTTATCAAAAAGTTTTTGTTGTATCATTATTTAAAATATATATACAAATCATTAACAAACAAAATTGACAATTAATCCGTCAATCAAAGGGTTAATTGAAAATATCAATCAAAAGTCATGTATACTGAAAGCAATGCTAATACCGGTGCCGATAGCGGCAGTAAATCTATTGTCAGTAATGATAATAATATTAATAATAGTAGCCATAAATCGGTAGATAAGACATCATTGAATAGGCAATTGTCTGTCAATTTGGACAAAATGGAGAAAGTTTTGAAAGTAAAGGCCAAACGATTTAAGAAAAGTTTAAACGATTTCAAGGAAAAAGTACGGATAGAGGCCATGGAAATGGAGATCAATCGATGCGATGATAATAAACGATTGAAACAAGTGTTGGGCGGTTGGGCACTGGGACCCAAACATATGCACCATTTGGCTACAAAACCCTATGAATATAATGCCAGTGCCGGCTCCTATCTGGAGCTATTGTTTTTGCAAAAGTATAAACACATTGATAAATAATTAATATTTATGATTTTTTTTATTAAACAAAAAAAAAAGATTCAATTAAGTTTACTAATGTTGAACTACTAGTGCTATTAATAATAATAAATGATTAATCAAAATCGCAAGTATTATTTACAATGAAAAAAACTATTGATTATTATTATTACTATTAATTATAATATAAATTTATAATAATATTATTATTTATGTGTTTGTGTCTGCTATTATAAAAATTTAATAATTATATATATGAATATAATAAATAGTTATTATAATTTTTTTTAAATATATAAAAAGCTGTATCCAGTTCAATTATAATTTTTAATGCATAGTATGAATTTTATTAATTAATTAAATATAATATAACTTGACCTTGAATATATTTGATTAATTATTTTTACATCAATTTTTTTTGAATTATTAATTAATTTATTTTAATTTATTTATTTTAAAAATTCTACAGATTCTGGATATGGTTGGCTCAGTACATACCGATATGGATGAGCCCGTGTGTGATAACTGCTACCGGTTTACTAATAAATATTATAACATCTATTGCTGTACTATGCTATGCACCTGATGCCCGAAATGAGGTATAAATTGAATATTATATAGTTTTTAAAAAAATAATAATAATAATTAACTATTTTATATTAATACTGAAAATTGAAAATAAAATAATTATTTTTTAAATAACTGTAACATTTAGTATAAAACATTGATTGCAATATACTAATTAACTAAATTAATAATAACTAAATTTAGCATATTAAGCAATCATAATCATATTAGATATCAAAAAATTTATTTTTTTTTAATTTACTAATCATATCATACACCCCTACATCCAGGTGCCCACTTGGTGTTTCCTTATATGTGCAGTGGGCGTATTTCTCTACCAGACATTGGACGCACTGGACGGTAAACAGTGCTATAAAGTACAGTGTACTCAGATCGAGGAGGTCTACGATCATGGATGCGATGCCGTGTCCACTATATTTGTTACGATGGCTGCGGCCTGTGCCGTCCAGTTGGGTCGTACACCTGAGCTACTGTTCCTGCTATTCCTATCAACAATGATTGCCTTTTTCTCCACCCATTGGTTGTGTCACGTAACACATCAAATGGTTTTTGGCCGGTATGTCCAACAAATATTTTATAACAAACAAATTAGATAATCTAATCATCAATTAATTTAACAAACATAATAACAACAACAAAATTATTGTTTGAAATTTTTGAATTGCATAATATAGTTTAGATTAATATTTTCTTATAATTAAAATAAAACTTATATACTGTTAATTAGAAAATTAAACATCTATTTATATATAATAATTTAATTTTTAAAAATATTTATTTCCATATTATCTACAAATAGAGTTGATGTGAGTGAGGGTCAGTGGGTTATGATAATAGTGCACTTGTGTACCGCATACTGGGGTCAACGTATATGGCATACAACACTTTTTTGGGATACTGGCCCACAATTATCCCAACTATTAGCCATACTTACCATAATATCGATGTCAGTGACAGTCGTACGCAACATATCAATGATTTTGGGCAAAAAGACACCGTTAGATGAAATGAATGTTCAATTGGTCAGACGTACCGATAATATATGGGCTCCGGTAGTACCGATAGCCATACTAACAATATTTGCTGTCATGTCCTATTCAATTGGCTACTTTCATGTCAGTCCATTATTATTTATTTTTACATTTGGTTTTGCCTACGCTAAGGTTACCATCAAATTAGTGGTAAGTTTGATATAAATATACTGTAAATATTACAAATTAATTATAAATAATTTTAAGTTATAAACTAAATTTATATTCAAAAAATACTCAATTAATTAAATAAACTATCTTATTTAATTAATATTATTACTTATAAATTAATATTTATTTTAATTAATTACTATTCAAAAAAATATAAAAGTTTTGAAACATCATTTAATATCTATTATGTATTGTCACTTAAACAGATGATGAACTGTTGCAATGGTGACATGGATTACTGGGACAGTTCGCTAACAGCGCCGCTACTGTTGGCCACAAACACCCGATTCCTGGCACTGTTACACCCGAAGACTGCACTGTTGTGCGCTTTTGTCTACTCGTTAATGGATTTGTCCCGTTATTTTACATACTGTTCGTGGGATCTCCGGTTGGCACTCGATCTGAACATATTTAGCATCAAATACCCGGTCGGACATCCAAAAAATCGGCGCCAATGTCTCGGCTATTATGTCAATGGTTTCAACAACGATATTGTGCTTAACAACAGCAACAATAGCAACAAAACTGACAGCAATAGTAAATTAGTTGTTTAACAATAATAATAATTTTTTTGTTACACAACAATCTGTGCCAATATTTTTAGTATTTAATTATTTATTTATCATTTTTATTATTATTAAGTATTTAGTATTGTTTCTGTAGGTTTTGTTTTCTTTCATTTAGTTAAATATCATGTATACTAACTATTATGTACTGTAAATACCATTACGTGTTAATAATATTATGAATAAAAAAACGATTATTTGCTGATTTAATCTACCGGTAATTTTTAAAATATATAATTTTATTATTTTGAATAAATTTGAATAATAATCATCAAAATATAATTTATATAAAAAAATAACTGATTTTTAAAATTTTTTATTACTATTTTCATTTTAAGAATATCTAATTATAATTACCGTACATTAGTTATAATAAATAATTAAAAGTGAGAGTCCATTGGTTATATGATTTAGTAAATTGTTAACAAATTATTAATATAGAAATTTATTTTAAAAATAGTTATTAGTTTTTTTAAGCATAATTGTTAGAATTTAATTTGGTTTTAGAATTTACATTTTTAAAAAATTACATATATAAATTTTTAATTAAGATTTTTGAAAATAAAATTAAAATGTTATTTTATAGTTATTAGTGGTAGGTTTTACGATAATATTGTTTTAAGCCAAGGTATTCAACTAATTTATAATTATATTTTTATTATTTGTAAAATCATTTGAATTATTAAACTTTAAATATTTTAGAAATTTTGAAATTAGATAAACTAATCCTCAATTTCTTAATATTAGATCTTCAATTAATTTAAAATTAAATTTTTTTAATTGCATAAAATAATTATTAAATAATTAAATCGTTAAATAAACGTTATAATATAAGTACAATTGCGATAAATAATATATTATTTTTAATATGAATTAGTTTAAATCTTATTTAATCTAATTTAATCTATGTGATTTATTTTTGTTATAACTTTAATATTTTTATAATTATAAATTAATTGCGCTTTTAATTAGTAAGAATAATTATTTTTAAATAATTATTGTTTTTTATGTTTTATAAATAGATTTTATTTATTAGTAAAATATAATTAATAATTAATTAAAAAGAAAAAAAAATATTTTTAAAATAGAAATAATTTAAGTAAAAAAATGAGTTTCAATAACTTAATAGTAATTAAAAGTTGTAATAAAAATAATTATTATTATTTATATAAATATTATATAATACTAGCATAACGTTTACATTACGATATACTGTATATGTATAAAATTTTATACATTAAATTGACCTTGATAATTAGACTTCTAGCGTTATGATAACAAACTATATAATACAGGATTTATATACAGGTATTATAAGTACAGATTAATAAATAGTATAAAAGCAATGAATATTTATTTTACAAAAAAAAACAATTATTAACACATAAATTATTACATAATAACAGGTAATTAATAATAATAATAATAATAATAATAATAATAATATATTGCTATATACAGTAATACCTGTTGACTAAAAAATAAAAAGAATAATAACACAAAATATGACCGAAAAATCTACTCATCAACTAAACATACTGTTCATACCTATCGACGCCGTCGGACACATCAACTCATGTCTATCGTTGGCCGAAGTGTTGACCCGAGCCGGACATCGGGTATCGTTTGCCGTCAACGAGCAATGGCGCGACAAACTCGGTGTCTACGGTGTTCGGGAGTTGCTATTGGTTGACGAAAACCGACCCGATAACTCGGGTAAGGACGCGGCCCGTGAATTTGCCGAAATGTGTGTCCGTCAGGGTGTCATCAAACGGGAAACTTCGCCGTTGGAAGGATTTCGCAATATTTTTATGAATTCATTGCCCGAAGTGGGCAAACGTACCGAAGTGTTGGACCGGGAGATCGGCAAACTGTTAGCCGATAAACTTAACAGACCTGATGTCATATTTGTTGAACAAGCGTTTTGTTTGCCATCGGTTGTCCAGTCGGGTATACCCTGGATATATGTCGGCACTTGTAATCCTATTGCCTATATTGATGACGATCGGACACCGCCAGCTAATTCAGGTATTGTTTTAATAAAATTACAAAATATATTATTATTATTATTTGGTTATTCAAATATTATTATTTAATTGTTTTAATTAATTGTTAATTAATGTAAATATCAAAATATTATTGTTAGGTTATTAGATTTTTTTAAATATTTTAAATTGTTAAACTGTTAAACTGTAAATATATTTTTTTTAAAATTAAACTTAGATAAATTAAACATCAATTTATTATCTAGTTAGCTCACTATTTGGATAAATTTTTAATTTATTTTCATACTTTAAATTAGTATATTATTCCAATAATTAAAAAATTAATTATTAAAAATAAATAATTAATTATTTACTAATTATCAAAATTATTTGTTTTTCAATTTAAAAATAAATTTTAAATACTAAATAACTAATATATAATAGGTTTGTCATCAAAAGGATCGTATGATGAGTGGACGGCATTCAGAGATGAGACACTAAAAGTCAAACAAATTGTTTTCAAAGATTATAATAAATATTTGCTATCGAAAGGAGTGTCCGATTTCCAACCAAATCATTGTTTATATTTTTCCAAATATCTGAATATCTATGGCTATCCCCGGGAATTAGATTATTTAGATATGAGACCATTGCCTGATAAATGGTTTAGATTTGATAATTTTATGCGATCAGACCGGCACTTGTCGTTTAAACTACCGGAACAATTGCTGGACAAACCGGGAAAATTGATATACTTTTCATTGGGAACTATGGGTGCCATTGATTTTGATAATATGAACCGTTTGACAGGTATATTAGCCAAATCCCAGCACAGGTTTATTGTATCGCTCGGACCGTTACCGGAGAAGATACAGTTGGCCGATAATATGTGGGGACAGTCGTCTGTATCGCAAATACAAGTCCTGCCATTAGTTGATTTGGTTATAACTCACGGCGGAAACAATACTATCAGCGAAACCTTTTCCTATGGAAAACCAATGATAGTTATGCCACTGTTTGGCGATCAGTACGATAACGCACAGCGGGTTGAAGACACAGGATTTGGTAGACGACTAGATGTCTACAAGTGCTCTGAACAGGAACTGCTGACAGCCATTGATAGTCTATTAAATGATAAGTTATTAGTCGATAGATTACAACAAATATCGAAACGAATACTTACTGACAATAGTTTAGCAAAATTACCGGAAATTGTCGAACAATTAGTAAAATCACATAAATAAATGTCAATATTTAATCAAAATAATTCAATTATTTCTTATTAATTTATATTACAATTACAATGTTTTACTATGCTTTACAGTTTTATATAAAAATTTATTTTATTTAATATTTAAATATTTTTAATAATACATTTATACAGTATATACATTAATAATTTGTATAATTCATATTTGTATATATGTAGAATCATTTTCAAAATAGGTTGACAATGGTTTTTTTGGTTATAACTTTTAAACGGATTGAAATAAAACAAAAATACATTTTATTTACAAGTTAGCGTTTTTGTTGCCAATACAATAATTATAGTGCTTGCTTTTATATTGGCACTGGTATGTTAGATCAGGGAGGTATGATATCTCAAAAAACTAAATGAAACATTCAAATAATGTTTAAATTTAAATTATACTTAATTTGAAAAAATTTGAAACGTTTTTTACCATTTTTAAACATATTGAATAGTTTTTGAGTAAATTGTAAATTTAGCATATAAATTACCTACTTAATTAAAATAAAAATAAAAATTTCAATTTTTAATATAATTAAAACTATCCTGTATATCAACATGAAATTATTTTTAATTAATTCTATATTTAAAAAATAGTATATTTCATCAATTTATTCTAATTGTCTAACTCATGCAGTATTTTAAATATTAACAAAAGTAATATTATCAATTATGATTATTTATTTAAAAAAATTAATAAAATAATTACGAAATTTAAGAAAATAATAATTAAATTTGCAGTGTGTTTAATAATCAATATATAATTATTTATAATTTGGTATTTTATTTGTCTATTTTTATTATTTATTAACTAGGTACAATATAAATTGTATAATAATTGTACTGTATATGCAATTTGAAAAATAAAATTTATTGAATTAATAATTAATCATTTTATTTTACTAAACTTATATAATATATTGTTTTATTTCACACTATATGTGAAAAATGTACAATTAATAAATAATTATAAAGTTTATTAATATTATTAGTTGTTTTTATAAATATATTTTTATATAATTTAGTACTAAACTTTATGTGATTAAATATGCAACACTAATTTTTTTATTAATATTATACTTTATATCATAGAAACTAATATAATTATAACTAAAATCAATTTAATAAGTAATTTATTATATTTAGTATAATTAGTACAGTATAAGCAGTTTATTATTTAAAAACTTTTATTATAATAATAACAATGTCTAAAAAAATCAAACATTTTTAATGTCTCATATAGTCTGTATTGTTATATTTATATTGTTTTAATTGTGTTAAAATATAGTAAATGTTCTTGTTTAGAATATATTGAAAATTATTTGTAAATAATAAAGATTATTTTATTTACATATAATTTAATAACTTATAGAAAATACTAGTAAATTGTTTAAAAATAATATAATAATAAAATTTAAAATAATATTTATTTATTTTTACTAACATTTATTTATTTATGTTTTAAAATGAAATAAATTGTTATTTTTTGTTTACTAATATATTTATATTAGGATACTTAAATTTTACTAATATACTAAAAAATAATGCAATTATTAGTATATTATACAAAATAATAAAGTTACAAATTATTAATGATATAAAAAATTGTTTGTCATATTATTATTTTTATTATTGTCATTTAAGTATTAAGTTTGATCATTAAAATCATATATTTTTCAAGGTATATATTTTTATATAATAATGTTATATAAATATACAAGTACATTAAATTAAAAAAATATACTTATGAAGTTTTTTGTTTTTGTATTTTTTTATTAATAAATTTAATCAGTAATAATGTTGGCAAAATATAATAATAAATTATATACATTAATACCAATGAGATTATGTAATCAAAATTATGATATACTTATGCCTAATGCTATCTATTATTGTGATCAATATATGTATGAATCAAACAATACACTAATATTTGATATCATTATTAATGTACAGTATTTTTGTTTTGTTTTTAAAAAAATTAAATTAATTAATTATATTTAAATTATTGTATTTTTAAAAATTTAGACACCATTAACCTATGGTATACTATTATCTTTGGTCGACTATTTTGTTTGCAAATTAAAAATTGCATTAAAATTTATAAAACACGATAATATTTGGAAACTAGAAATCAATAATGTAAAGTATAATTAATAATAAACATTTTAAGTAAAATTAAAATTATTAATTTTTATACAATTATTATTATTTTTCTATTTATTTAGACAAACACATTAACAGTATTAGATATGTATTATTCAAATTTTATAAGTAACCATGATGAATTGGATAAAATAATAGGCATTCAAATATATAATATTGAAATAATTTCGGGTGTTGTCTGGAGAGATAATAATTATTATTTTAATATTATTAAATTATTTGATATCAAAGTAAGATCAATATTAATTATTAAAATTAAAATATTATTTTTAAAAAAAAATTTTAATTATAGATTTGGACTAATTTATTAATAAGCATTATATTATTTACAATAATTTTGAAATCAATATTATTTAAAAAATCAATAGAATTTATGGAAATATTTAGTAGTCTATGTTTAACATTACTAACTCATTGGACAAATAATATTAATAAATGTTTGAAACTAATTAAAAATAACAGCTTAAAACATACTATATATATAATGACCATGGTCATATGGTTAGCCAGTGCACTGGTAATTACCAGTGCATTCAAAGCTGTTTTACTAAATAGTTATTTTAAACTACAACCGCAACCTGTGGTCCGAACTCTCACAGATGTGGCCAACTGTCGGGACTGTCGGGTCGATACAAATCCAAATATTTTACAAACATTTCTAAACAATAGCCCTGAATATCATAGTCTATATAATCAGATTAATAGGAAAATTTTGGTCAACAAAATTACCCTGGATAATTTCTATACGCTAGTTCATCAGGATAAAATTATTGAAATTATCAATGGCAAATTAATTATGCTATACAATACATTTGATATTAAAACTATTATGCTAATTTTAAACAATTATTTAGATAAAATTGTATGGAGTAGTCATAAATATTATTACGATCATGTCTACTATGTAGTCAATAAAATGCATTTATATACTAGAAATATGTCAAAATTGTATGTAAAATATATACTGTATATATAGATATTTGTCTATTAACTTATATGTAAATTGTTTTATCATTTTTAAAAAAAATTTAAATTTGTATTTTATCTAGGTACAAAATATTATTGGAAACCGGTTTAAATGAATATCATTACAATAGAAAATTTTTATTTGAAACTTGTGTAACAAAATTACAATTATTTCAACAACAACAACAAAATTGTATCTACAAAAATGATATTGATAAAATTATTGAACATGGTAATGTAATTAATCTAAATGAATCGTGGAAAAATATATTTATTTTCATTGTGATTGGTTATATGTTAGCGTTTAGTAGTTTTATCTACAATTTAATTTACTATTATCTATACTATTAATTACAATATGCATTATGTTATCACTAAAATGCATCCATACTTTATAAATATGTCAAATATGTATTGAAAATATTTATATATTAAAAAATATTATTATAATTAAAAAAAATTTTGAAAATACTATCAATATCAATTGTAAGAGAAATTATAATTTTATAATTTTTTATATTTAATATAATTATTAAAAAAATATATGACTAATATAAATTTTATTTTTTATAAATTTTAATTTAATTTATTGACAAAAAATAAATTTAAAAAAATATTTCTACTTATAATTTGTTAATAGATGTGTAAAAATTGTAATTATTACAAAATATATATTATTTTTTATTTATCAATATTTTTGTGTATTTATTGACAATATAGACAATTATCACAAATATTATCGTACATAGAGTCACATAAAACACTTCAAATAGTATAACAACATACGAGTGCCGTTCAATAAGTAGACCTAATATATAAGGATTAAATAGATTAGCCAAACCGCACATCAGTGCAGCACTGGTACCCATTGGATTAGTTATTTGTATGTATTGTTCAAAATAGGCAAACATTGCCGGAAACAGTGCCGATAGTCCATAGCCGAGACAGACAAATGCTGTCCACAGTACTGGTTGGCTGTACTGGCCGTACATTTGTATGACTCCGAGTGACAGGTATAGTAAGCTAATGTGACCGACAATCATATACTGGGGCATCAGTTTTAACGATACCAGTACACTGGCGGCTCGTCCAATGGTATAGGCCAGCGATACAGTGGACATTATTTGGGCGGCTACCGGTGCCGTAATACCAGCCTGGGTGTACTGTAGATAGGTTGCACCAAAATCAAACAGGGTAAACTCGATCAGTGTATAGGCGGCCAATAGTAGCGACAATAGTAGTATTGCCAAACGTCGCGGAGCGGCCTCTAAGTCAAACAGTTTGACATCAGTAGTAGTAGTAGTAGTGGTAGTATTACAGCTAACTGTGCTGCTGTCGATCGGCCGATCGGACTTGTTATGAGATTTTGTGGCCACTGTTAGGGGACTTTCGTAACGTTTTACCAAAAACATGATCAGCAATGCTATCGGTGCTAACAATTTAAAACTTATATATATTAATAAATAATTTTCTTAAAAATTTTACTATACTTGTATTATAAAAAAAATATTATTACTAAATATTATACAATAATAATTAACATTTATATAATTTAAAAAAAAATTAAAATACAAACTTGCTAATTTTTTAGTATTTTGAAAACTGTAACATTATTTATATTAAAAAATAATACATAATAAATACATAGATTAGGTATTATTTTAAAGACTATTAGATTTTTAGTGAAATAGCTTATTATTTTTTAGACTTTTAGTTATTATATAGTAGAATATAATATAAAAATATTAGTAATAATTTCATATTAAAATTAAATTGTTTTAAAAATTCATAATTTTGTATTTATTTTTGTATTACTATTATTATTAACATATAATATAAAGATATATAACTTACAAATTAGTTGAATGCAACCAATAATAACAAACGGTTTCCATAGATTGCCAACTCTATCATTATCGCTATTATCGGTAATATCTGTTAAATTACTATAAACTGTAAAATTTGTTACATTCATAGTCTCATTCACTACTAGTCCAACACCACCACCACCTCCATGTCCTCCCTGTCCTCCACGTAGAAACGGTCGCAAAATAAGTGGCGACAAAATAGTACCAAATCCGTAGCCAAACTGTATGAACTGCAATACTGATGCACTCCGGTTGGTCCACATTTCGATGATCCAGACATTTATAGTACTGTTCCAAACACCGCCACTAACACCACACATCCAGAAGCATAGATAAACTATGTATAGGTTAGGCGATACCGGTATTGCAGCCGATGATAGACCAGTCAATATGAATAGTATTGAAATTGTTAGCTGACGATTCAAATAATTGTAGAGTAAACCAGCTAGATCATATTTATAAATATATTATATTAATAAATATAGATATTGAACATAAAAAATATATAAATAATTTCTACAGTTATTAATTAGTTTTAAAAAATATAAATTAAATAGTTAACCTTATAGAAATAGAAAAGGTTGAATATAATAATTAATTATTTTTTACTTAAAATTAATTTTTAAAAATATACAAAAAATACTGTATATACTGCATACTGTAATATATAGTGTATATACTAACTTACATAAAGTTCCCATCATATAACCGATAAATGTAAATGTCATACATAACGATATCATCTCAATTGAAACATTTAATAGATATCTTAAATCCAACATAACCGGCCCAAATATGGCAACCGATAGACCCTATACAGGGGGGACAGTAGTTACAAATATATATTTAAAAAATAAGACACACACATACCAGTGCCATATTACAACAACACAATATAATTGTGTAAAGATATTTGCCATAATTATTGCTATCAATATTATTATTATTATTTAATTTCATTTCTTAAAACTTTTAAAGTAGAAAAATATAAATTAAAAATAATTCAATTTATTAATAATTTGTTAAAAAGAATAAAATACAATTTTATTAATATTAATTATAAAAAAATATTTATTATATAAATACAAATAAATAATAAATATGAGTTGTTTGACATAAACATTTCAAATTAGCAAATTGATAGTACAAATAAAATTGTGTCAATTAAAATACATAATTATTAGTTAAAAAATTTATTGTAAATAATAGATAAATCAATGTTTATAAACATAATATATTTTTTATTTATTAATTATTTATAAAAAATAAACATAATTTTTATATATCATTATAAATCATTATAATAAATGAAATATAATTGATATATATATATACAATATTTGTAGTTTTAAGTTATTTAATTATTTATTTTATAATAAAAATTTAGCTATCAAAAAATATTAGAATAAATAATAATTTTGTGTATTTTCTGCAATTTACAAAAAAAGTATTTTAATTATTAATTAATAATTAAAATACTTGCAGTTTTTGTAAAATACACAAAGTTATTAATTATTATTTATTCTAATATTTATATAATATTAATAACATTATATATAATATAATGTATAATTAATTTTTGAATTTAATTCAATTAATTTATTTAATCAATTATTTAAAGGAATAAATAGTATTTTTTTAAAAATTAAATTAAATAATATTATTTGCTTTCACTTGAAAAAAACTAAACTACCTTATAAATGTATAACTGCAAAATTAAAAATTTATTGTGCAATAAGTTTATCAAGGTTATAAAAAATTTTAAATTGCATCCAATAATAAAATAAAAATAAAATTTTTGTTTCTTTAAGTGATCTGTTTTATATTATTATTAAAATCATTGAATTGAAATTAAATTAAACATTAGTAGATAAAAAATTGTTTTATTAGAAATTAAGATAAAAATATTAATATTATTATTGATATTTGATAAAAAAAATTTTAAGAAAAAATCAAATAAAATATTTCCATAATATTGTTTAAATAAAATAATAATTATTTTGTTTGACACAAATCTTCGACAAAATTGGATACATCCGATATGTCCGGAGAACTGCGGATTCGGTCACCAATAGCTTGCATACGGGCTGTCAGCTTATCGTCGGCCACCAGTCTGTCCACTGCCGACAACAGTTCATCGTCGGTACATTTGAACGGATTTAGTCGTAATCCGTGACCGGTTTCCTCGACTCTCTGGGCATTATCCAACTGATCGCCAAACAGTGGCAACACTAGCATAGGTTTGCCGTAATAAAAGGTTTCGGTAACTGTATTGTTGCCGCCGTGAGTGATGACCAGATCGACCAGCGGCAGGATAGCCGTCTGGGGTAGAAATCGTTGGCCCCATTGGTTGTCGGGTAAGTCGTGCGACTCGAACAGTGGTCCTTTCGAAACGATAAACCGATGCCGAGATTTACCTAAAATAGTGGTCAGTCGTGTCATTAGCGATAGATTAGCGCAACCGAACGATCCCATCGATAGGAATACTAGTTTTCCTGGACGACTGGCCAACTGAGACGGTAGGCTAAACGTATCGTTCGTAATGCGCATAAAATTTTCCACACGTTTCCAATTGTTTGCCATCGGATACAGTTCCTCGTAATCCAGTTCCTTCGGATAGAGATATAGATTCAGATACGGACTGATCGGATGTAAGCGCATGTCTTCCAGTTTTGGTGCACCTCTTGATTGACAGTAATCACTGATTTCTTGTTGAAAATCTTTAAACAATTCAATCCATTTATCAGTAAATTGTTGCCATTGTTTGCGATCACCATTTGTTGGTAAACCTAATAATAATAATAATAATAATTATTATTATTATTATTATTATTTTATATAATAGTTTCATAAAGTTTATACTTATAAAAAAAATTACAATTTATATTATTGTATAATTTATTTGATTGAATTAATTGTTAGAAAATTATATTATTATTATTAAAAGTAAAACTTATTAAAAAATAAAAATTTAATATCAATTTATATATTGAGATAATTTATAATATTTTTTATCAATGATAACAACATAACAAAAAAATGTTATATATATATCAAGCCTACCTGACCACGATGGAGGTATCCTACTGTCCAAAAATGCCAGATGAGGTGCAGCCGAAAACAGCCAAATCCAAGGTATACCCGAATTAGTGATGGCCGGTATGTCTACATAGTTATCTGATACTATGACATCGGGTTTAACACGTTCAATAATATCCGCGTACTGGGCCTCCCTGTCCTTACTGTCGGCAAACATTTTTCTGGCCGCACTCAAAAAAAACTTTTCAGCAATAACTATCGGATCTTCCAACAGATAGTGACAGTTTTCGGCCATAAACCGAGGCCAGTATTCTTGAATTTCGGCTGTACCACCACTACTACCACCACCATCAGCACCGGTAACTGTTGGCTGTGTGTCGCCATGTATTTCCTCTTCAAAACCAAACGGCTCGAGTTTGCCTTTGAAGGCCTCGTCGATGGCAAACACTACTCGATGGTCGCGCCTTTTGAGCTCAGAGGCCAACCCGTGACACGCGTTTATGTGTCCCCAGCCGTTCAATGGTGTAAACAAAACGGTTAGTTTTTTTGCGACCATTTTTTCGTTGTTGTTGTAGTAGTTGTTGTTATTGTTGTTAAGTTAAAATAATTTATTTAAAATAATAGAATAATTTTTTAATAACTATATATAAATTTTTATATATAAAATTATATACTATTATGAGTGGATTGACTAAAAAAAGTAATTTATTTAAATAATTTTTATCGTAATATTTTCATAACTATTTTATGATTGATAATCATTTTTGAGTTCACTTTTGATAATTTATAATTTTATTTTTATTTTTTTATCAGTCAAGTAATCGATAAATTAAATATTATGCACTTATCTCACAGTATTTAATATATCAAATAATATTAAAAACCATTATTTTTTATATTGTAGTAATTACACTTTAAAAAATTACTTTATAATTATTTATATAATTGTTGTAAAATTATTTTATCATTAAATAATAGGTTTCTATCAAGGTTATAAAAATTATTTTTTTAAAAATTTTGCAGTCAATCATCAAATTTAATATTTTCTTTTTGTTTAAATTATCTGTTTAATATAATAACAGTACATATAATTATTAGATAAAGTGTTTAAATTATGATAAAATTAGGCACTAAATTTGATAAAATATATTATTATTATCAATTGATTTTTATGTATTATTAAGTTTTATAAACCGTTCATATGATAACAAAAAATATCAAATTAACTGTATTTTAATTACTAACTAAACTTTAAGAATTTAATTAACTAAATATAATTAAATAATTTTTTAAAAATTATTAATAAATAATGTTTCATTTGATACGATTTTTTACGTAAATTTTTTTTTAAAAATATAAATAAAAAATCATCGCATTTTGTATAATTAATCTGAACTAGTTGAAATCACTATATAATATATTGATACAAAAAAATAGTTAAAATATATATTTTTTTTAACTAACAGTTTGATTAAATATTTATATTATATTACATTAAACTTTATTGTTCATTATTTGTTTAGTCTGCTATTATATTTTATTTAATCTATAGATTTGCAAACGAGATTAAATACATTGAATTAGTAAAGTAAATGCACATGATCATTTATTATTTTTGCATTTTTAATCTCTATGTTATTAAACGTTAATCCACAAACATTTAAAAAAAATTAATTATAATATGAAATGATATATGCATTAGTATTATGTAAACATATTTTATTTTATCAAAATATTTTTTTTTCATCTCATAAATATCAATATAATAATAGTAATAATAATAATAATAATAATAAATATTGTATTTAAGTTCACAAATGTATGGATAATTAAAAATAGATGTTTTTTTGTTTTCTTAAAATTATATTACCATTCAATCAATTATAATTATCATAATAATAATTATACAATTTTTACATCAAATTGTGTGTTCATTTTTTAAAAAATATATATATATTTATATAAATGAATTTCATAGTAAAACTATATGTCATTACAAACTTTCAAAAATTGTAATTCATTTTTTCAATATTATTATAAAATATATATATATATATATATATATAAATAAGTTAATCCAATCATGATTTTATGTCCATAATATAAATATATTGTAAATATCAATATATATCAGTTAAAAATGGATGTTTAATATATAAACATAAAATCGATAAAACAATCAATAAGTCATTTAATAAATCAAACCATAACTGGTTTGTCGTTATCTAAGTATTGTTTGAGATATTCATCGTCTGACTGACGACGATCTCCGCCTCCTCCACCTCCACCTGTCCTCTGTTGTTGGCAACCGTTAGTGGTATCCGATGTGTTATCGGCGGCTTTTTGTGTGGCCGACGCCCCCTCAAAACGGGAAGGTTTTCGACGATTCGGAGCTGAAACACGATTTTTTGTTAAATGATTCAGTGGTTCGTCGCCTGACCTCATAAATAGTCCGCAACTCGATTGCAGACCTAATGTAATCAATAAAACAAAATTTTTATCATAATATTTAATATACAGTATATATATATAAAGTAATTACCGGTAAATTCAGGCGCAGATTTGCGATTGTTATGCGATTGTAATATAAAATTGTTGACTTCGTCGCCAATGTTGTGCTGCTGTTGTTGAAACTGTGCGTTGACTGCTGTGTTGTGTGCGGTCATCGGATCGCCGGCCAAATCGGTAACCGACGACAGCATCTCATCATCGGAACCATTGTTTGCCATTAGAAACGACGGTAAGATTTCAGTCAAATGATTCCTAATAATAATAATAATAATAATTAGTATTATTAGTAAAATTGTTTTTTTGTATGTAATTATTTAATGTAAACAAAAATAATAATTAATAACTAACACAAAAAACTGTACCGGATAATTATATTTTTAAAACTATATATGAATTATTTATAATTATATCAATATAATAGAAAAACATAGAAAAAATATATTATTATTTTTTATCATAATTAAAATATCTAATAATAATAATTAAAAATAATAATAATTACTTTTCAGTAATCAGATGATGTATCTGTTGTGTGAGTATCGCCTCCTCCTCTTCATCGTCATCGTCATCATGTCTGTGATGCACTGACATACCAGTGCTGGACGGCTGTCCCATATCACGGTTCAAATGTAACTATTATACAAAATTTTTATTAAAAAAAATAAATTAAATAACAAACAGTTGTAACAAACCTTTGATAGTCTAAGTGAGGACAGTCTTGACGATGCCGTATGGCATGCGGTGTCCAATATATCGATGTCGGCCAACGTGTCGGCAATTTGTAACATTCGGGTACTTATTATGCATTCAATACAACTGTTCAATTGAAATAAAAACATAATAATTAAAGCCAAATAAGATTATAAAAAATTATAATATTGAAATATATTTAAAAATAAATAATTTTTCATAAGTTATATATACTGTATATTATAATAAATATAACATAAGCTAATAATAGCTAATTATTAAACAAACAAAACACAAACAAAAATAAAATGAATACATACACAGTCTGTTTGCTGATATCCATAAGCTTGTCCTGCATTTGCATAACTTTGTCTGTCCTCAGTATACACGGAGCGAAAACAATGGCCAACGAGTTGGCAGTCATCCGGTTGGCCGACTCTTGTTGGGCTACACGTGCCAAATGAAATACCAGCCGTTCGAGTACATCATAATTGGCCCTGGGCAATTTGCCAATACTAGAGTATATGGATTGAACTTTTTCCTGATGGTCAGTGATGGCTGTAGTCCATAGAAAATCATCGTACAGTTCGTAGGTCATCAACGGTTCGGCCATTTCACGGAAAAACGATTTCAAAGCGGCCGTCAACACGTGTATGGCATACGAATCCAGATCGACTTCTGAGCCCCTGAGCTCCAGTTCCCTTTTGAGTTCATTAATCTTCGACGTTGTGCCCGACTTACGATACAGTCCTTCCGTATAGAGTCCTTTCAGTTCAATATTGGTAATCAAATGTTCCAATATTGGCGGTATACGGCACTCGTCAGTGACCAGATCTTGTAGGCGGGCACCGAAAATTTGCGGTCGACCACCTTTTTGGCCGCGTCCGCCATCGCGGGCCGCGCGACTCATTTCGTGTATACGGCAAGTAGTTGACAGTTTGGTGGCACACTTTTTATGACAGGCCATCTTACACAGTGAACAAACCCATATTTTTTCCATTAACCACATCAGCGATGAACAAACTTCGCAAACAGTAGGAATGTTGGCCATCGATAGCATAAAATGATGGCCACACATCTCGAATACTTCCGTTTCGGGCGAGTGACCACTTTTCCGAGATTTTTTATGACGTTTGCGTTTCGATTTCGATACTTTTGTCGAGGCTGGCGCTTCAAGTACTGAGTGAGCTATCAATTTGGTATCGCCACCACCACCGGCACCACTGCCACTGTTGACCAGTTGTGTGACAAATGTATCCGATTTTGACTTTTCCATCGAATGCTTCTCCCGTTGCCATTCGCTCTGTTTTTGTCGCAATTGATCCAAATATCCGCGAAATGCGTTGACACCCATTATCACTGGAAATGACTTCCAGGTGTTCTCTTTTTGGCAGATGTTGAGTATTACCTAAAAAAAGACAACCAAACAAAAAATCAAACCATAAATATAACTAACTAACAGATTAGTGTCCAATTAAATAAATACCTGTTCAAAGTGATCGATGAGGTTCTTGTAGGTAAGTCTCAGATGGCCGTCCATAGCGGCCACCGAATAGTGTGATATTAGGTTCGATCGAAACTCTTTGAGTGCCAATTTGAAGACCACATCCACTGTGGACTCCTTGACCCGCGATCGGCGCATATATTCGTCCATTTCGTAGACTTTGGTCAGTATAAAGTTGTCCATTGCCAACAGTTCGTCGCAATCGGTAATCAGTATGTCTTTCGGATCGACAAATTCGGCCGTACGAGTCACTGACCAGCCGCCCGAACCTGAGCTCCAACTGCTGGCCTGACTGTCGCGCGCCGACTGCGATCGCTGGCCACCACCACCACCGACACCGGTATTTGCAGCACTACTTGTGTTTTCTTTTGCCGAACTGTTTTTCCAATTTTTGCCGCCCTTTCGGTGCTTAGATCGCGGCGGACGCGACGGATTCGGGTTTGTATTGACTGTAAAATAAAGATTTAATAATAAAAAAATTATTGTTAAAATCATTAATTTCTATTGTTTAAAGTTTCTTTTACCATAAAAAATTAAAAATTTAAACAAATTAATTAAATTAATTAATTAATATTTATAAATAGTTCACTAATTAATATATTTTGTATATATAAATAAAATGTATTCTAAAACATAATATTATATATCATTTATTCAAATTAATTATTCACTAATTAAAAAAACAAAAAAATAACTAATAATAATAACTACAATAAAATAAAACCCGATAACCCATAATAAGTCAAAACACAATGTAAATTAGTGATAGTCAACATAACATACCATTGATTGGCGCCAACAGTATCGATGAAGTACTGTTGGATGAGTTAGACGGTGTCGACGATGACGACCGGCACGGTATCTGATGGCACGAGTGGACACACTTGTTGTGAAACAGTAGTTTACATTCTTCACACTTGACGCCGACATTGTTGTTGGTTGTGGTGGTGTGCGGTTGGCCTTTGGTGTGCATCGGGTTCTCGCATACGGCGCACAGTTCGCCTGAACGGAAATGTAGTTGCGGTCGAACCGAATGGCCGTTCATTAGTGAAAAATCACGTCCAGAGCCAACTGGAGCCGGCAATGGTGGCCCTCCCGATGATGATTGAGACTCATATGACTTGGACGGCCGCTTTATTACGGCCGACCTATGACTAGACGAGCACAACAGGGATACCTCTTCGGGTCCCGAGTCGTAACACAGAGGCTTCATTGCGGCCATCATTGCCGGCGTCGGCTTTGAGCTAACTTTCGACGACTTATCTGAACTTTTGCCTATAATTGTTTTCAATGTCTTCTTTGCCTTTTGCAAAGCACCGCCACTGCTGTCGCTGCTGACAGATGTGGTCTTTCCATGACTTTGTTGTTGTTGTAGAAGAGATTGCTGTGATTGTTGTTGATGTGATGCGAGTCCAGTCTTCGACACTTTGGCCTCTTTGACGATTACATTGGTCAACGACGAGGACGACTCCAGAGGTTCAACAAATTGGTTTTGTTGTTGTTGTCGTTGTTTTTGTTGGTATATTAGTGCCGACGAATCGCTGGCAATTTTGGCCACTGGTCTGTGATCACGGAAAGTGACAGCAGCGGCGCTGTTGTTGGACGACGATTCAAATTTGACGCCCATTGGCGATCCCAAACCGCTGCCACCACCACCACCACTAGTACCCCCACCGCTGATACTACTACTACTGCCTACACCAGTACCTAACTCGTGTTGTCCTCCCGTCGCCAGACTGGAGGAGGATGAGACCATATCAGACATAATCACTTTGTTTGACTTAGACTTGCGAAGCGACAGTTTACGAACAACACGATTGCGCCGTCTGTCCAGTCGTGTCGTGTCCTCCAAATCATCCTCGTATTCGGGCGACATATCGTTGTCGTCGTCGTCGTAGTATTCGTCGTCAAAGTCGTACGTTTTCAACGGTCGATCAGTTGACAGTCGTTTTTTCGGCGGCAATACCGGTGCGGGTGTTGTAGCCGCCGAAGTTGGCGGTTGTGGTTCAGTGTCAGAGTCAATGTCCTCCGAGTCGTGTATACCGGACTCGATGTCTTCAAGCGCCTCTTTTGTGGTAATTCCACGGCCGGCAATACCGGTGGCTAACTGTTCAGTAGAACTAAGGTTGGGTTCAGGCGTTGTGGTCGACGATGTCAACTGTTGTTGTTGTTGTTGGGACTGTTGATCGAGTTTTTGGTACATTTGCTGATAGAGATGAACAGATGGACGGATAGGTATGGAATCGAGCAGCTCTTCCTGTGACGAACCCTTCGATAGGAAGGCTTCGTCCGAATGTGAGGACTGGGAGTCGATGGGTATCTGCGATGATTTACGAGACGACTCGTGACAACCGCCACCAACGCCGCCGCTACTAAACATTGTTTTGCCGCTATCACCGACACTGGGCGAAGACGGCACCGACGATGGCGTACCAATGCTCGACCGGGACTGTTGTCGCGATTGTTGTTGCAATAATTGCTGGGATTGTGTCATCTTTTGGGACAACACTTTGCCGCGCAATAGAAATCCTCGACAGTGGGACTGGAATAGGATTGTCGATCGCCGAAGCTTTTCAAACCATTGTTTCTGTTGGAAAGATCGCCAATTTTTCTGTATACAATTGGCCGCCCAGTTCTCGATGGCGGCAATCTGTTTGAGTCGACTGAGCCGCTGCTGTGCCATCCAGCGTCTGGTGTGACACTGTATGATAATGGCCGCGTCGCGCATCTCTTTGAACCGTCGCCTCAATATCCATGTGCGCACCTGTAGGTGAATGTGTTGATTGGAAAAATAAAAACAACAATTATTTATTTAGTAATTTTATAATTAATTAAACAGTATTGTAGACAGTAATGTATTTTTAAATAAAAATTATTATTATCATCAAACATATGTTAATTTAAATTAAACAAATAAACATTTTACAGTTTAACAATTTTTTTAAAAATTTTAGACAGGTTAAATTCATTTTTTGTTATTTATAAAATAACTAATACTTGTCATAATATAATTTATTTAAAATGTGAAAAGTACTAGGTAATCATTACATTTATAAAGTATTTTAACTAATAAAATAAAATTTTAAATATTAATGCCAAAAATAAAAAATTTACATCAAATAATTGACAAAAATTTAATATTTGTTTTAAATTGACCAATTGATCAGTAAAATAATCTACTATTTTTTATGTATAATATTATAAATTAATTAATTTAAAATAAATTATTTATTAAAAAAAACTAAATCTAAAAACATAGGATCTTCTACTACTACTCACCCATCTCTGCAATGTTATGATACGTCTGAGTATTTCCTGATGAAGTCTTTCATCTAATATGAGTTTCTCGCTCTCTCTCATAAATATTTTGGACTTTCCTATTTGATAGTTGTCCCGATTTAGTGACATTAAGGACAGAAAATGTTTGACATCCGATTGACTGGACAGTAAGCCTTTGGCCAGTAGTATACGATAATGTTGAATAAACTCGTCGTAACTCAATCGGACACTGTAGCCGGACTGTCGGATACGGACCGTCTCGAGCATACCGGTATACCGGAGCTGTAGTAGTACTAGTACGTCATCAAAATGGTTGGCTATTTTGTCACCGTTGGATTTAATACAGCGTACAAAAAACGGATTGGCCAGATTTAGGGCGTCCATCAATTGTTGAAGACTGTGATGAAACTGATGGGTAACAGTTGGCGTCTGTTTACGGCCGGTGCGCGGCAATGTACGATCCGAATGTGATTTTGTATGATATGCTGGTATGTGACCACCACTGGTGATACCGCCGCCTCCGCCACTCGTGGCCGACGAAGAACTACCGATTGGCGGTGCCATCAGTTGTTTCAATGTTTTCAGATTCCGGATAGACTTTTCAATACCTTTCGACTTGTTTTGCAGTTTTTGTTGGGCTATGGCTTTGTGTTTCCTATGGTTTTTTGTTTTATTGTTTTTTTTGTTTAAAAAATAAATATTAATAATTCAATAATAAATTAAATTTGTGAATTTTTTTTATTACTCTATAAAAATTATCTAGTCTATTAATTATATAGTTTAATTGTTTTTTTAAAGTTTCTAATATTAATTATTAAAGATAGAAATTAGTAGATAAATATTAATTAAATAAATAAATTGTAATTAAACTAAATAGTATCTAATAAAAATATTTTATAATCTAAAATAATATTGTATACTATTTTATATAAATGTATAATAGATTAATATATATTTTTATAACAATTAAAAACATTTAGGAATAGGAATCAAAAATGCACTTGCTAAATTCACATTTATTTACTTATATATCCAATACTTATCTAGGTATTATTATTATAATATATATATGGGATATAAGGAAATACATACATCAATATTTTATTGGCTTTATTAAGCACTTTAGCATCGCTAGAGCACAGGGAGTTCTGGTTTCCATGCATTGGACATAACGATGAGGCAGTTTTAATAAGCGATCCGCGTATACATTGGGGAGCGGTATTATTATTATTATTATTGGCACCGAATAAGGCCTGTTTGCTCAGTATGGCCGATGATATGCGCGATACGGGAGGAGCACCGGTACCCTCACGTGTATATTGTTGTGGGGTACCGGTGCTCGACGAATGATTATTATTCATATTGTTTGTTGTGTCGGTGCCGCAACTGTGTTGATATATTATATTATTATTATTATTATCATTAATAATATTCAAATTAAAAAAATAATAAATTTTTAAATAATAAAAAAATTAAATAATAAATATAAATAGTTGTCCATGCTTGAATTGTTATTGCATGTGATTTTGTATTACAATTATTATTATTCATGGCTCATTTAGCATGCTTAATTTTCAATGTTTTCAAAAAATACATATAATATATATCGCTAATTGATAATTACAGGTAATAAATAACAAAAACAATAACAATGATAACATTGACATTACATTACATTAGTATAATTATTATATCATTTTAAATATAAATAATTATTTTTTTTAAAATAAATAAATAAAATAAAATACTATCAATACTTACAAAAGTTGCTTTTTGGCATCAAATGAGGTACGAGTAGTCTTACGAGTATTGATCTCACTTATTATGAAATTATCGTTAAGCCCTTTATATCCAAATTTAAATAAAATCATAATTTTGTTTAATTACAATAACATAAATATATTGTTACAAAACAATTATATATTTATAGTTATATATTATATATATATTTATTTATATAATTTTATAACTAAAAAAAATTCATATCTTTTAGGTTACTAAAACTACTTACAAATTTTAATTGATAAATAATTAAAATAAAATTTAAAATTTTACAATTTCCACACACAAACTATTGTAAAAGATTTAATCAATAAAAATAAATAAATACTATAACTAAAAAAAAAGTACAACATATAATAGATGCAAATAAAAGTAGAAGTAATGTTTTAACATTATTTTTAAAAAAAAATCAATAATCAAAATTTCTAATAATTTAATTTTTTAAATATTTTTTAAATATATATTATTAAAAAAAAATAAAACAAAACTTACCACGTTTCATTTTGGACATTTCACGAAGTTTGCTGAAAATAAAATAGGCCCTAAAAAACGCTTTCAATATTTGCCACCTAAATATGGCCAACGGGTCGGCACCGACCAGTTCGCGGACAAACGCCATCTGCGAAACTTTGAGTACCGACACAATATCGGGTCGCATTAGATCCATATTTTTTTCGCGAAAATCCCGAATCTGATACTTGACTTTACCGGCATAGTGTTTGATCATGAATGCCGGGGCCGGCCTACACGGCGGTACTTCGAATAGGGCATTGTTTTTATGATGATTGACAAACTTTTGGAGCACAGTCTCGTTGTTGGCACCGGGAAAATTGCACTGATCGTCGAGCAGATAGAGTAGGCCATGGGGTCGGCCCTCGATTAGGTTCAGACAGTCAATATTGTCGATGAAGTCGATGTTACGCCAGTTAATCGATTCGCGTATATACTCTTCCTGTTCGTATTTGAATACATGTTGATTGAAATAAAACTGTAGGTGCTCGTTGGCATAGTTAATACAAAATTGTTCAAAATTGTTTTGGTCGCCAAAATCCTCGAACCCGAATATGTCCAAAACGCCGATATAGTGGCCTATAAATTATATATATAAAAAACAAAAATTTACTAAACAAATAAAATATAGCTATTTTTAATAAAAAATTGTGTCTAAATAAATTTTTTTGATTAAACTAAATCACAATTTGAGATCTATTTAACTAAATAAATACAATTTATATATATATATATATAATTTATAGGTTATTTTGTTATGTTACAGTTTGATGCAATAGTAATAATTATTTTAAAATTTAAAATTTTATTTAAATTTGTCTATTTATAGACTAATTTTCTCGATTAGACAATAGAGATAAAATTTTATCAAAATATATATATACCGGTATATATCAGTTAAAAATTAATTAATTTCAACAACAAAAACAAGAAAATTATTTTTTTTATAAATATTTTTTTCTAGCTAATAATTATCTAATTAGTTTTGTTAATATTTTTATAAGATTTTTCTTATAGGTTATATGCTATCAATACTTTTTTTTGTTGGAAAGTATTTACGGAAATAATCGTACAAAATATAATGACATGTCGTACCCAAAATTATATACATATTTACTAATATTTATAAATATATATGTACTGAGATATTGATATATTTTAAGTGTGTGTGTGTAATAGACAGTCAGACAACACACTACTAACTAACATAACTAATCATCACTTAAAGAAAGAAAGAAAGAGAGAGAGAGAGAGAGAGAGAGACCCTCTCATTGAAAAAGTTGAATACACTGTTGAAAATGTGTGTAAATAGGAAGTTAACACTCGATAATAAACACAGTTTTATTATATTTATTTATTTATTTTTATTATTATTTATAACTATTTAAATAATATATTATATATCATAGAAATGTAAGTAAGTAATGTACTGTATACATAGATATTAAGTAATCAAGCACATATTTTATATAATAGACAATATTTATATAATACAGTATATAAAAAAATTAGCCATATGTTTATACAATGTTTTTTTAGTAATCTATTTTTTTAATATTATCAACAACAAAAACATTGCTATTTTTAAAACATTGTATAATAACCTATTATCAATCAATTTGTTTTTGTGATAAAAAAAATATGTGTGTATATAATGTTTTTGGTCACACGAAATGCCATCAATAAATTATATATATATATATATTAAATAACAAAATAGCATATATTTAATATATAAATAATTTTCTGTTATTTAATATTTATATTAAAAAAAAATATTGGCTTAAAGGTTATAACAACAACAAATCTATTCACAGATAAATTATATAAGTTATAAAAATTTTCATAAATAAATATTTATTTTTTTATAATTATTAATAAATATTCATGCACTTCCTATTTACTTAATTTTAATTTTCTCATGTATTTTCAATAATCTCAAAAAATAAACTAAAAAAATGTTACAAATTAAAATTAGTATATCTTTCATTCAAATCTAATAAAACTAATTTTTATATTAATTATTTTAAAATAATTTTAGAGTAATTTTCTAACTTTTAATTTTTAAAAATTCTACAAATTTATAAAAAAAAATATAAATAGTTACCAATAATTGACTTAAAAAACTTAATCTTTCAAAATTTAATTGTAATAAAATATGTTGTTTATTTAATATAAACTGTAAATAATTGTAAGTTTGATTATTTATACAACTTTGAAAAACCAATTAATAAAATTGTAGCAATTATCACAAATTAAAAAAATAATAATAATTAATTGTATCATACTGTAACAATTGCTATAATTTTTAAATATATATATATTAAATTAAAATTGATTGATTTTCTTTTATATATATTATAAAATTATATATAAGTCCCAAGTCGATCAATAATAATATAATCATTGATTATATTAATAGACTAAATAAACTAATGCTATGATAAACTTTTATTATTATTATTAAACTATCGGAGATAACAAAGTTTTCTGATCCATACCTTTATGGTCGCGGAAATCCTTTTTGGCTAACAGTGCATGATTTACTTGCATGACTATCCAATCAAACAATGCACCGTATAGACACTTGGCCATAGCGTCGCGGGCGGCAATGGCATCGGCCATCTTATAATTGATAACCAATGTCTCGCCTTTGGCCGCTTTCGTACGCTTACAGGTCAACGCTGTCGATAGGGTTTCCTCTTTGACCAGTAATAGTTTGGATATAATCTCCACTACTCCTGGATTGCTGATCAGTACGGTTTCATCGGAATGGTAGGTCGACTTTTTGGAAAACTGTACATTACCCAAATATAGTACGGCTGATAGTACACGAAAACACCGGTTCTGTTTTTCCTGGGAGAAGCCAACCATTTCCATTGATTGCTGCAAACGGGCGAACTCGTAGCTTTCGTCCACACCGTCCAGTGTATAGCATTTGGATTGGTTCAGGTAGTTATAGTCACATGGCTTTCCCAAATATAGTGACTGATTGATGATAAAAGTGAGAGAGAGAGAGAGAGAGAGATAGGGAAAGGGAGAGAGAGAGTATATAAACAAAAAAATTAATAAATAATACGATATTAATTAATCAATTCAACATAAAAAATATTTGGGGGTAGAAAAAAATAATTATATAAATTCATTAAATTATTACTATTATTATGTAACTTATTGTCATATAATTATCTAATATATATATATATGTGTTGTTGTTTATTAGGATTATAACTGTATCACAAAAGCACAGTCAATGTGTGTGACTGTGTTTGTGTGTAAGTATGTATGTATGCATTAGCATTGCGCGCACAGTTATGGGCAAACATATGGGGGATGTCTAAGTATGTATGACTATGTGTATGTATATATGCGTGTGTGTGTGTGTATGTGTGAGTGTCGACCCAAATATTGTTTTTTTAATTATTTTTTCATTTATTTATTATTATTATTATTATATTTTCACCATTTGATATGTGTTTTTTACCAGACATGGCATTAATGTTTATATAATATATGGTTATTGTTTGGCTCAATGAGAAAAACGAGTGCAACGAGTGGTGTGAGACATATATATAAATAATAGCAACAAAACAAAAATCATTTAAAGAGAAAAATAACAAAAAAATAAAATATAATATAATATATATATCTATTTATTGAGTGAAAAGTTATTTATGGGTTCAAAAAAACTTATATATATTTTTTGTACTTTTATTTTTTTAGTCTACATATATTATATATATAACTAAAACACACGCTAGCTAAATTAATTTATAACGATATTTTAATAACAATTTTGAAATAAAAATTATTATTTTTTTCTATGTTGTTCCTAATAATTATATTAATTGAAATTTATTACTTATTATATAATATATTTATAATAATACTCTTAATAATAATAATAATAAATTTAGTATTATAGTGTATATAAATTATATAATCGCTTTTATAATGTTCTAATAAAAAAATTTTATTTTTCAACTAATAGATGTCATGAAAATAATATTATTTTTTGATTTATATATATTACTATTAATTGAAATTACAAAAAAAATAATAATAAATAAATTTCTAATAATTTAATATCTAATAAAAAAAATTATAAAAATATCATTAGTTGCCTAGTTAAAAAAGTTTTTATTATTAAGTTTTATAACTATTACAAACCAATATATTCAAAAAATAAAACTAATAATAATAACACTGTAATAATGATAATAAAAATGTAAAAATTATGAAATCATGGGGTCGTTAAACGGTTATCAGACTAATTAACCCCTAATCTAATCGCCCAATCAATTGTGTTTTATTTATTGTTTTTGTGTGATTGAAACATATGTGAAATATTTGAAACATTTTTAGTTGTTGTTTATATGATACGATATATTATAATAATAAACCGTACATAAATGTGATGTAAATTATACGTAACTAATAGTGTATATAATTAGATGATAACAATTATTTAGTAAATTGATGATAATTTTTGTTTTGAAAAAATATGATTTCACATGTAATAACGTCAATAATATTTAATAAATAATAAATATACTGTTATATATTAACTTTTTTTTGAAATTATTCATAATAAATATAATTAACTAGTTATATTTTAAAATTTTTATCCTAAAATAAAATTTTAAATTAATATGCTAATATAATAATAAAATAATAATAAGATTTTGGGATTTATTATTTCAATATATAATTCATGGGTAAATCTAACTCAACAAAACAATACAATAGCTTTATGATTTAAAAATATTAATAGTTATTTTTATCAATGTAATTTATTCATAAAATAATTATTTACCTAAAAACTTGCTAAATAATAATTTTTATTGAAAATAGCATTGAATGTATAGTTATAGACTTTTTTTTAATATTGGGTTATATTGAGAATCAATGTGTGGGTGCTTTCATTGGGATTAATGACATTTTTATTATAATGATAATAATAATAATCAAAATAACTGTTAATAATAGCGATATTGAAGCAAATTATATATATATATATATTAATTGCTTTAATATAAGATGAATATAAAGCAATATTTATGTATATAGTATTTATTTTTATAAATATAAGTATTGAGGAATATTTTTTTATATTATACAAAAAATATAGTGCAATAAATTTTATTTATGAGAAATAAATTAGATTTTTTTAAAGAAAAATATTATAAAACGGTTTTATATAATAAATTTTATTGATATATATAAACTATATGAAACTATCTATATTTAGGTAACTATAAATTTTAATATTGGATACTGACATAAATATATTAATATATATTTATGGGAAATATATGAAAAATATTTTAGTTTTTTTATCACGAACTCCTGAAAGGAGTACGTATCTGAATTCTATATGTCCTTCCGTCCTTCCGTCCGTCCGCTTTTTATTGAATTTTTAAATTTTGACTTCAGATTTGAATTAAGCATCAAAAATAAGGTATAGGGGATCAGCATTAAAATTTTGATATCTCATTGGGAACATAGAGAAAATGGCGGCCAAAGTGAAAAATTTAGGTAAAAATTTTTGAGTATAGATTTGAATAAAGCATCAAAAACAAGCATAAAAAATATGGTTTAAAATTTTGATATCTCTTCGGGAACATGGCCGCAAAAGTACAAAAAAAAGAAATTAAATTTGAAAGTAAAAATTTGAATAGAGCATAAAAATAGGTAAAGAATATCAGTATTAAAATTTTGATATATAATCAGAGGTTTTAGAAAATCCATAAAATATAAGTAACAAAAAAAATATATTGAGATTATAAAAAAAGTTTAGAAAAGTCAAAAAATATATGAGTAATACAAACAGTACTAAATATTCAGAGATTATAGAAAAGAACAAAAATATATAAGTAATACATACAGCCAGTCATGAGGAGCAATTGACACGCCACAGATCATATTAGTGCTAAATATGTAAAGGTGAATTTGTGAATTTTTATTTAAAAAAAAATATTGTTGAGACATAACTTGACAGTGACATTGATTTAATAAAAAAATTTATTCCAAATAGTAACATTTAGTATATAATTATTTATTACCATAACAATATTTATTTATTAAAATAAAAAATTCAACTCTATGATTGGATTATGTTCAATTGCTCCTCATGACTGCATACAGCATTAAATATTCAGAGGTTATAGAAAAGAACAATAATATATGAGTAATACATACAGCACTAAATATTCAGAGGTTATAGAAAAGAACAATAATATATGAGTAATACATACAGCATTAAATATTCAGAGGTTATAGAAAAGAAAAAAAATATATGAGTAATACATACAGCATTAAATATTCAGAGGTTATAGAAAAGAAAAAAAATATATGAGTAATACATACAGCACTAAATATTCAGAGGTTATAGAAAAGAACAATAATATATGAGTAATACATACAGCATTAAATATTCAGAGGTTATAGAAAAGAACAATAATATATGAGTAATACATACAGCACTAAATATTCAGAGGTTATAGAAAAGAACAATAATATATGAGTAATACATACAGCATTAAATATTCAGAGGTTATAGAAAAGAAAAAAAATATATGAGTAATACATACAGCACTAAATATTCAGAGGTTATAGAAAAGAACAATAATATATGAGTAATACATACAGCAATAAATATTCAGAAATTATGAAAAAGAACAAAAAAGATGGTCATAATTAAGAAAAAACAGTCATTATTAAAATTTTAAAATGAATCTTATTGGCTAATAAAATTTTAAAAATAGTATAAATAGAGTTGTAATTTTAAGAAAATTTCAGTTAATTTCATTTTAATGAAATGTGAACATTAGTGAACAGAAATTACAATAATGTAATATTAATAAAAAAATTATATTAATTTGTTTTGTGTAATAAAAAAAAATTTTAAAAGTGCAAAACTAAGATTTTATTTTAATAAGAATAAAATTTTAAATATTTAGTTAAATATAATAAGTTAAGTTATGTAATCACGAACTCCTGAAAGGAATATCTTTAAGAACGTATATAAAATGGCGGCCAAAGTACAAAAATTTTAAAATTAATATTTAATACTTAGATTGGAATTAAACATTAAAAATAAGTTATATGAAATTAGCAAACAAATTTTTATATCTTAAATAAAATAGATAAAATAAAGCTTGAGTTAATACTCTTTAAATTTAAGTTATATTTATAGTAAAAATAATAATATATTTTAGTTATTTGATACTCTCTATGAATTGTTTGAGTTTATTTTGTCCTACTGTCATTTGATACCCCACATTACTAAGGTTGAATTTATTTTTTGCATATTTAGTCATTTGATACTCTATATGAATTGTTGTTTATTTTTTTATACTGAATCATATGATACCCCACATGACTAAAGTTTAGATTATTCTGTCATAATGAGTTATTTGATACCCTACATGGCTATAGTAAAGTTTATTTTTTTATACTGAATCATTTGATACTCCACATAACTAAGGTTGTTTATTTTTTGCATACAGTCATTAGATAACCTATATGAATTGTTGAGTTTATTTTGTCATACTGAGTCATTTGATACCCCATATTACTAAAGTTGAGTTTATTCTGTGATACTGAGTGATTTGTTACTCCACAATGTGGAGTCCACATCCATGTCATACTTAATCATTCGATTTTAATTTAATTTTTAATTTGGATTAGGAGTTCGTATGGAAATGCTTTCTAGCATTCTCAACTGGTTTTTACTCTTTTTTCGATACACTAAATAAACTATAAATTTTGAAAAATCATTTTCTTGTTATTATTATTACTATTACTTTATCGACGATCAATGATTATGTGATTTATATGATTTTATTATTATTATTATTAAATTTAGATTTTTGAAAAAATAATAAATATAGTGACGTAAATATCACGTTGAATATAATTATTTTTAATAAATTAGTATTCAATTTTTTTTGTAAAAATATAATTTTTTGTTATCGAATTTACAAAATAAATTTTTAAAAATATTTTTTTTAATTTTGTATATAACTAATTTAATAAATATAAAATATATACAAATATAAGTCATATAAATACAAAACAGTATATATATCACATCTAATCTATTATTAACTATTAAAATACTATTATAAGATCTAATCAAATTAACTTATTATTATTACATTAGTATTAGTAATAAATTTATGATATTAGTTTTCAACAACAAAAAAACAATATAACACTCAAAAAAAAATAAATTTAAATTCTTATTAAAAAATTTGAAAAAATTACGCGCGTTAAGTAACATACAAATAAAAACAAACAAACATAAATTAACTAGATAACCCCCTCCCCTCCCCACCCACCCACTCCCGCACCCACACTAACCTCTTTATCCTGTTGTGTGGCTCCGGCCAATAAATAATAAAACACGTGATAGTTTCGTTCGCTTTTTACTTGGCTAACAATACGTGATTTTTCCAACAAATATTTTTGTACAACAGCGCCGTGAACCTGGCCATTTTCCTTATAGTTAACCTGGATAAACTTGCCAAACCTTGATGAATTATTATTGTGTTTGGTTTTGGCGTTACCAAAGGCTTCCAGTACTGGACCGGCGCCCAGTATGGTCTGTTCGACACCCGATCCGTGAGTACCCTTTTGGGCCAATGCTGTCAAATGATGGAGCAATAAGTTGGTCGACTCGGTCTTTCCCGATCCCGATTCACCACTGATGACAATACACTGATTGGACTGTTTCTTAAGCATTGCCTGTTAATCACATTTTTAAAAAAATTATTAAAAATTAATCCAAAAATTATTATTAATTATATTGAATTTTTATAGAATAGAAAACAATTAGTATATAAGTAAAATAAATAAAATAAAATTTTTATTATATAAATTTACCAATAATATTGAACTTATATTTAGATTAATAAATTATTTAAACTGAATCGTTTTACATTATATTGCAATTAAAGTTAGTATAATGCATATTTTTTTTTTAAATGAAAATTGTTTTATATTTTAATTATATATAATAATAATAATACTGTAACTAAATTTAATAATTAATGACAAGTCATACTATACTACTGTATATACAAATAGTTTAACTAATAATAAATATTAATCTAAATTTATATTTTTAAAAACAATTATAATTTTTTTTTGTCTTTATCATTGTCTTAATTACCGGTAATTATGATTTTATTATATCACTAATGTATATGTATTTATGGTCTCAAATTAGTCTAATTTTAGCATTTTTGCTGTCATTTACAATTAAATTACTATTTTTTTGTTGGTGTGGTATATCAAATGATTATCTGATGGACACACAGACATAGATAGAGAGAGAGAGAGAGAGAGAGAGAGAGTCTGTATTACAGAGAGACACACCACTCACACACATACCTGATAGGCGGCGTCGGCGATGGCAAAGATATGAGGGGGCAGTTCACCCAAACGTCGGTTTTGATATAACTGTACATATTTTGGATTATAGATCGGATAAAATTTGAATGGATTAACGGCTATCAATATGGAGCCCACGTAGGTATAGATGTGGCCCTTATCGAAACGTGCCTAGATCAAATTTAAATAATTAATTATTAGTTTTTTTTAAACAATTTTTAAAAATTATATATAATCAATAATTGGTAATTAGATTTTTTTTTAAATATTAAATTGGGATAATTGATAATTGTAATATAATAAATGTATTTTAGTTTAATTATAATTATTTTTTATAAAAAAATAATTTATTTAAATATTTTTATATAATTTAACTTAAATTATCTTTATATTTTGATTATTTTTATTTTTAAATTAAGTTTACTAAATAAAAATTACTCTCAAATTTTGTATTTATTGTACTAATATGTTACTAAAATTAAAATATAATAATTTGGAATATATTATTAATTACAAAAAATAAAAAAAATTATAACATTAACCTTTGAATTAATGTTTTATGCTAATTACAAATTTATAATTATTATTATTATTATCATTTTTATAATTATATAATTTTTTGAAATTAAAAAATTTTAGTTTCAATTGCATAATTAAAATAAAATTTTACTATCAATTAATGTAATTATTATTATTAATGATTTAATGATTGGCCAATGTATTAATAATACAGTACTAATAATTTAAATATTTATTTTATAAAATTATCAATTAAATCATAAATATAATCAGTATTTTCTAAACATATTTTTTTTAAACTAATCATTATTTCAAAATATATAGTTATTTTTTTCTCGACAAAAAAAGTTAGTTATTGTTGTGTTAGATAAAAAAAATCTGTAAATTTTGAAAAACACATGTGATTTTATATATATATATATTCATTCAACAAACGCTATACTTTTTTATCGTCTAATCTGTTATTTACAGTCCAATAGACGCCTAATCCTCCTCTCAGTCAGAGTCAGTTAGTATACAAATGTGTTTTTAATTAGATCCACACTATCACTAACACACACACACACACACACGTTATACAATAGTTACGATCGTATTAATTATGTGGATTGTGTGTGACATTATTGGTTATATACATATATACAGTAAATAATATATACTATATATACACCAGTGTGTATGTACTCTCAATTAATATACCCCTCAATAGGGTATCTAAAAATAGTGGCGCGAACCGGATTATATTAAGTTACACACAAATAAAGCATTTATATAATTTTATATACATATATATATTATATATATTTATTAGGCTAATTTATATATGTAAAAAATATCATATACAGTTTATATATATAGTATATATTATATACAAATGTAAAAGTAGTAATTCACACACACATATATATATATTTTTTAAATCGCTAAAATAGTAATCAACAAATTTGCACCCCATTCATACCATTGAAAATACACTTTTAAGCTATTTATTAACAACTATTAAGCTTTATATAAAAATAAATTGTATGAATTTAATATCATACATGTACAATATATAAATATATATTGAATTGTTAAAATAAGTAAATGTAAATTTATGTTATTTTTGAGCAACAATGAACTCATTTGTTAATTGTCGATCTCGTTAATTACCAATTTATAAATATATATATACATTGTTTATACAATAATATCTACAATATATATATATATTTCTAGTGTAATCAATGGAGTGAATAAATAAAATATTTAAAAAAACGCTACTCATATTAGTCAGTCATTGAGTTATAACATATTAATTATAAATACCGTAAATACACTATAGTATATACTATATATACAGTCAATCACAAAATTGGTGAACGAGGTTTTTTAAGTATAACTAAATAATTAAAACAAATAAATAAAATATATTTTATACTATAGTGAGGTTTGATGGAACCGATATATTAATATAGGTTTTGGAAAAAGTTTGGAGCCTGGTGATTTTAGAATCAAAAATTATCATATCTCTAAAACTATAATAGATATTTGAAAAATTTAAATTGGATATGAAAAGTATTAAAAAATAATTGGACACGTGTTTCAGGATTTTTAAAAAAATTAATCAATTATTTAATAATAATTTTTTAAAAATTATAATATTGCAAATTTATAACTATTTTTATTTATTTTATAGTTAGAAGAGATATTTAAAAACATTTTTTTCAATAATTTTTTAAAATATTTTTTTCTATTTATAATATTTAATAATAAACAAGTTTTTAAAGATTATAAAATTATTATATTTATTATATAAAACTAATGTTATTTAATGGAAATTTTAGTGAAAATAGAATATATTAATATTTTGTATGTCCGCCTTCGTTATCGATGACTTGTCTCAGTCTATTTGGCATTGAATTGATGAGACGAATAAAATACTGGCGATTCTCTGATAATGTTAGGTGAGCATTCATCAAAACCGTCCAGAGCTCATCCTTATTGCAAATCATTGGCTTTTCTGCTCGTGCCATATGCTTAAGCATTCCACCAACATGCTCAACTGGATTGAGATCTAAAAATATTTTATAAATATTTAATTTTTATTAATTTTTAGTTACCTGGAGAACATGGCGGGTGTGGCATCACAAGGTCTTCAGGATTACCCAGACCACTTTCTTGGATCCATTGTTTTACATAATTGCTGTTATGTGCCGGGTGATTATCGTGAAGTAAAAGAAAATTTCCCTCTTCAAAGTGATCATTAATGTAGTGAAGCAAATATTCCTCCAAATATTCCACATACTCTTCTTTGTTGAACTTATCAACGCGTTTAATTGGACCCAAACCATAAAATGAAAACCTATTAAAAATTATAATTATAATATTTAATTAGTATTATAAAATAATTAAAATTATATTTATAAATGTTAGTAATTATTCATACGAAGCGATAAATCCAAATGTTTGTCGTGTATTACGAGTGGTTACAGTGATATTATCATTGGCGAAACGTTGTCCTCGTTGCCGATAAACATAGATTTTCCCATTATCACTGGTATCAATGCCAAACTCATCTATAAATATCACTCGGGACCAGTCATCAAATGTCCAATTGATGAAATCATTAGCGTAATTCAATCTTTTGTTGCGATGATACTCCGTTAGTCGCTGTTTAACAACCGCAACACACCTATTAATGCCTATTAAATAAAAACAAATAATAATAATTTTTATTTTTTTATATGATATACCTTTTTCATTAAGTCTTCGATATAACGTCATATTAGAAGCAACTGAAATGCGTTCATTCAATGACAACCCCTCTTGTTGTCGCCATTCTGTTAATGGTTCAAATCTATGCTCGAGGGCTGATTCAGCAATCAATTCGTCGTCTTCTACTGTTGTGATACGAGGACGACCAGATGATATGGGTTTGAGTAATGGGATGTCGTCCTCATCCATTTTTCTCCATCTTTTGAATGTTGAAAGACTGATGTCTTAATAAAAAAATTATTAATTAATTTAATTAAAATTATATTATTAATAACTTACTAATCCGATGCATTATCCTATTCATTGTTTCTCCGGTTGCACGAAATCTAACAAACTTTCTGAATTTGATCTCAGTTTCGGCTGAAACATGTGATAAAGACATGATTTGTGATCACTTGTAAAACAAATTGAAAAACAATCACAGTTTCAGTTAAACAATGTAAACAAAGATTGAGTCAACAATAATTGTGTTTGTATTCATTCATTAATTATATCATTCAGTTACTACATCATTCATACATTACGTTTATTAATTATAAATTTGCAATATTATAATTTTTAAAAAATTATTATTAAATAATTGATTAATTTTTTTAAAAATCCTGAAACACGTGTCCAATTATTTTTTAATACTTTTCATATCCAATTTAAATTTTTCAAATATCTATTATAGTTTTAGAGATATGATAATTTTTGATTCTAAAATCACCAGGCTCCAAACTTTTTCCAAAACCTATATTAATATATCGGTTCCATCAAACCTCACTATAGTATAAAATATATTTTATTTATTTGTTTTAATTATTTAGTTATACTTAAAAAACCTCGTTCACCAATTTTGTGATTGACTGTATATATTAATAATAATTAATGATGCATAAATTGCAATTAATCATAGTCAATTATTTTATACAAACATATTTATATATTATTATATAAGTCTCTCTCTCTATGAAATTTATATTTATATATATTGCATGTTTGTTGTTAATTTTTTCATCACAAAAATAAACAAATGACAAAATAATTTATTTCTATATAAACAATATACAGTACTGTATATATAATTTATATATATATATATATATATATTCAAACAAACACACACACGGTTTATAATATATTACTTTTTTTTATTAATATACAGTATAAAAAATTTACATTGTAATAACATATATATTAATATTGATGTACTAATTTGTTTGGAGATAGCTTTATTAAAATGTAATAAATAAAATAAAAATACAAAATATTTTTTTTTCTTGATGTAAGTTATATCGTTTATTAATAAAAATATTATTTGATAAATTATACTTTATGAATTTATAATATATATTTATAAAAAAATATTATATTAGTAAGTGAGTGGGTGAGAAACAGAGAAAGAGTGTGTGTGTGTGTGAGTGAGTGAGTGAGAGAGAGAGAGAGAGAGAGATATTGTGTATAACGTGAGAGTTAATTAAGTTACTTAACAAAAAAAAACATTTTTCGAGAGAGAGAGAGAGAGAGAGAGAGAGAGAGAGAGAGAGAGAGAGAGAGAAATACATAACTGTATAAATAAAATAAATATATATTGTTTAATGAAAATCTCTGTCGACTAATTGGTTTACCGTAAAGGACTACCTGTGCTCTTACAAAATACAGGAAGTAACCAGTGGTTAGAAAAAAGAGAGTTTGTATACGAAAAAAATTGAAATTAAATACTAATATAAAAATGTATATATATTTATATATTATACAGAGTGTTGTGGATAGTTATATACCGCAATACAATGGTATCTTAATAGTAGTGCATTTACACTGTTTAGCAATTTATAAGTCCAACACCATCACCAGAAAAAAATAAAGTAATTATAATAGCATTGCATTTGTTATGTAATATTTTTTTTAACTAT